CAAACAAGGAGCAACAGTTTCCAGCTCAACAAGCCACAATGCAGGACAGAAAACGGATGTTTTTTTCATCCATAGGGTAATAAACCTGTGGAACCGCCTACCCGCCGAAACCTTGAACCCCAAAACGCTGCTGCAGTTTAAGATCCAGCTCGATAAAATCGTCAGTAGAAATTATGGGAACCTTTGGCAAACCAACGGCTTCCGGTCGTCGTCGAGGTCACTAGAGAGATGGTGGCCCTCGAGTAAATTCAGGTAAATAACCGAAATTACCTGAGCCACCATCTCGAGTGGCTTCGGCTGGTAGGCAGTTATACGGGTTTATTATCCGACTGGTAAAACAAAAATTATCTTTCCTACATTGTGGCGTGGAGATGTTGTACATTGTGAGAGTCATATCGGAACTTTAAAATAAGTGGTTGGGATTCGTATACTTAATAATTTAATAATAATAATGATATCTTCCAATTTGTTCAATATTTCTTGGTGAGGTTAGCCGTGTAGTGTCTGGGTTCTAGTGTTGTTAGCTATAGACAAGTGAGCGTCGAAAGATCAACTCTTAGAAGATCAGGAGCAGACGGTTCACGATATTCATTAATTATTTCTTATTAATTAATTAATATATTACCAGACAATTCAATAGCATTTTACTAAAGTTTATCCTTGAAAGAATTTTCTATGATGGAAAAGAAGAAAATGAAAATATTTAAGCGAATGGATAACTTGTAAATTCTTAATAGGGCAATTATAAATAAATAAGTAAATAAATGTTTATTCAGGTAAGGTACATACATACAAGAGATTTTCTAAAATTTGATCGATTAATAGATAGATCTAGTACATACAATGCCTAAAGCCACTATTACGCAAAGCGTTTCGGGCAGGAAAAACATTAATGGAGGTGGTGTGTGGGGGTCAGAGGACACTCCCTACAATACCTCGAGTCCTACCTTACTGACAGGCTCCAATATGTTTCTGTGAATAATACAATTTCTCCCACCCTACCCATCAACATTGGTGTTCCTCAGGGCAGCATACTTGGCCCTCTCCTCTTTCTCATCTACATTAATGACCTTCCAAATGCCTCCCAACACCTCAAACCAATTCTATTTGCTGACGACACAACCTTCATTTACTCCAGTCCTGACCCTCTTGCTCTAAATGCCACAGTAAATACTGAGCTAAATAAAGTCCATCTTTGGCTAACTGCCAACAAACTCACCTTAACATTGACAAAACCTTCTATATTCTGTTTGGCAATAAATCCTCTAGTCTTATAAATCTCAAAATAAACAATACCCAAATTTGTAACAAATTAGATGGCAAATTCCTTGGCATTCTCATTGACCACAAGCTGAATTTCCAGGGACACATTCTAAATATATCAAAAAAAGTTTCAAAAACTGTGGGCATTCTTTCTAAGATCAGATATTATGTACCACGCCTGCTCTGGTGACTCTCTATTACTCCTTATCTATCCTTATCTCAACTATGGTATTTGTGCTTGGGGTTCTACTACCCAAAATCACTTACGTCCTCTAATTACCCAACACAAAGCCGCTATTAGAACAATATCCAACTCTGGCCCCAGACATCACTCGGTACCCCTACTCAAATCTCTTAATATGTTAGATATTAAGTCACTGCACATTCTCTCATGTGTATTATACATATATAAAACGCTAAACTATAATGCCAATCCTGATCTTAAAAGCTTCATAGAAGGTTGTAACAGAACCCATGAGCACCACACCAGAAATAAATACAGTTTTGATATTCCTAGAGTACGTCTTAATCAAACTAGAAATGCTCTGCAAATCAAGGGGCCCAGAATGTGGAATGACCTTCCCAACCATGTTAAAGACTGTACCTCTCTCAACCAGTTTAAGATAAAAACTAAACACTACCTAATAAATTCCCTGTAATCTACCTCACTCCTCTATTGTCAACCCATGTCTGTTATTTTCTTTTTTTTTTCTTTTTTTTTTAATCAACACTGTTTGTCAACCTATTGTATTTGTGCTGCTTTTTCAGTCATGTTCCCCCTTTTTTTTATCTTTATTTGTATTTGTTCTCAACATCTTTATTCTTTATGCTCAATTAGTATTAAGTTCTAGATATTAATGTTTTTCTTGCCCGAAACGCATTGCGTAATAGTGGCTTTAGGCATTGTATGTACTAGCTCTATCTATATATCAATCCATTAATTTAACATCACTTGTATGTATATACCTTACCTGAATAAACATCTGAATCTGAATCTGAATCTGAATCTAATGACTAAAACTTAATACTAATTGAGTATAAAGAATAAAATGTGTTGAGAACAAATAAAAATAAAGACAAAAAAAGGGGGGAACATGGCTGAAAAAGCAGCACAAATAACAATTAGGTCGACAAATAGCGTTGTTTAAAAAAAAAACAATTTTTGTTTATGAGTTGTTTTAATTTATAGTCACTAAAAAAAAAACTTGGTAAATTTGTTTATGTCCAAAAGTTCCGTACTGGAAAATGGACCTCACAAGCCTCCGGCTTCCTGTCTTAGTCAAGGCCACTAGGGAGATAGTGGCCCTCAGGTAAATTCAGGTATTTGGATATCATCCCATATTGGTCTCCAAATGCATGCTATTGAAATGAGTCAAGCAAGTCATGTGGTCTTAAAGGCGTTGACTGATAAACATAGATTATGAACATCTTAAACAAAATAATTATCTAAGAATTTAATCAGAATTCATTTGGCATCGTTGTCGACTCATAAAAGGGCATTCCGGGGTTCGATTCCAGAGCGGGACAGAAATAATTGGAACGTTTCCTTTCACCTATTGCTTCGGTTCCCCTAGCAGTAAATACGTACATGAAAGTTGTACAACTGTTATGGGGGGTTGCATACTGGAGAGGGTCAGTAGTTAGACCTTTGGGTGGGGACGCCTCTATACATTTTAAGAAGACGGAGAAGCATTCCGTGATATATATATATACCACAACACCTTGGACAATTAATCTGGATCATAAGGGAAGTATTCTCACTCTTAACTAAACGTAAAGTTAAAAAGTCAAGTGTAACCAAAACATTAAGAGAGAAAGTTCAAGCCTAAAACGCAATGTTTCGGGCCTTTGGTACCAGTAATTCAACATGATCCACGGAGCAGCCTCAACTGGCTTTACAACAAGGACCACGGATTCAACAAGCATTTACGCATTTATTCACGAACCTGTACATCTTTTCTCATTCTTTGGAGACTTTGTTTACATTTATTAAACCGTTTACGATCATCGAAACTTTCCAAACAAATATTATTCTTATAGACAGCCTAGTGCTTCGCAGCTCATAAACTATGTAAACTAAGTAAATCGTTAAAAAACGATTCTTCGCGGCAGGGGATCGTATTCCAGGGACCTGCCCGAAACGCTACGCGTACTAGTTTTTTTTTTTTTTTTTTCTTTTTAGCAGGGATAATCCTGCGCGGGCCCTAAGCCTCTGGCTGGCCCACTAAGTGATGCTCGTTTCTGGTTTACCTGGGCGGAGGATGAGTATGTATGACCCGTATGGTCGCTTCAGTAAGATTTTGCGCGTACTAGTGGCTGTACAAGAATGTAACAACTCTTGTATATATCTCAAAAAAAAAATAATAATAATATATGTAAACAAAGCCGCCAAAGATTGAGAAAAGATGTGCAGGTTTGTGAGTACTTGCCTAACTACTTGATGAATCCGGCCTGAATTAGACCCTGATGTTCTTGCTTTTATTATGATGCAAATTTACCGCTAAAATAGTACTTAACTGTTACACAAAAATCGAGAGAAATCACAGGTAACACGATGACTGAAAGTCAGGTAAGTTAATTGACCAATAAGAATTATGATTAGTGACAGAGAGGCCTACGTCACCGCAGACCGACGCAAGTGATTGGCTGTCACTCCGCTAGGCGCCCATTAAGGTGAAAAATTGTCATTCAGTCTCGTGGTTGTCAAGGAGGAGGAGGTGTGTTTAGTGCCGTGGTCTTTAATACAGCGCAAGGATATAAGTGTACCGGTGGTCTTAATATCATGCAAGGATATAAGTATACCCGTAGGTGTACCTTGCTTCTCGGTGTTTACTGGTTTAGAACTGAAGTTAACTGAAGTATGCTCGATGTTTTGTCCGTAGGATTTTGTGGTGGCCTTACTAAACCTTCAGAGTAAACCAGTCCTTTGCCGGAATCGTGGGATGCGGTCTATGGCGATGGTAAACCTGAAGAGGGTTACTCTTAACGTTGTTGCAATAGATTCAGCTACTCGAACAAGTTCCACCAAGTAGCACGGGCTATGGTGAGCCCGTAGTGGACTTACCTGGCACAGGAGCAGAGTTATTCTTAACCTGTGTTGGAGTTAATATAGCAATCATATCAGCCTCCATAAGAAGATTTGTTCCGAAGTGGACAGTTAGCCGTCGTCTAACATTGTAATTAACTGTCATAGTCTAGCACAAAAACTTACAGCGAGTTGTTCTTGAACGATAATAATAGTGAAAGCCTAGCTAGTGTGGAAAATTAACAAATAATTGGCGTAAATTATAAATCCCGTTGTCGGAGACAGGACTCCCATCGTTAGGCTTACCGAAGCCTCTCTGCCCCTTAAGGCCAACTACTGACGTCCCACAGGATGCAAACCACAACAGTTGGCTAAATAATTATTGTGAATTAACTGCAGATAAAACGGTAGGCTTAATAGAGTGAATGAAAACGCGAAATTAATTTCTACGAAATTTCTTTTCTCTACCGGAAAAGTCTAAACTTCGGATATTCAAGAAAGCAAGCTCCTCCAGGAGGTAATGAACGCTATGCGGTGTTAGACATTAACACGTGTTTAGCACACGAAGATGATCATACAAGGTGTTTCCACCGGAAGTAACAGATTAGTTAAATGTGGAGAACGCTATTAAGACGGACTCGGTGCTGTGTATTCCAGCGTTGCTAGGATAAATCCAGTGAAAACAAAGGTCAGGATTTTGAAAGTTGAGACAATGGTATTTGATCGTCAGCAAGTTAATACTCTTAGCAAGGAGATTGAGGAGTTCCGAACAATTGTCAATTTGAAAAATTAGGTTAGAATCGGGATTGGCGGTACACGATGCTGAAACCCATTGTCATCAACATAAGCACAAATACTCATTAATTCAGCCACCTAATCCCCTGTTTATGAAGGAAAAAGGTTTTTCCTTCCTGAACCTTTTTCATTATTGCATTATGAAAAAAAAGGACGGACGCCGCCTGAAGAAGCCTAGTCTGAGTACAGGTGAGACGATGGTTGTCTTAGTGTAAAGTCAAAGAAATTGATTAGTGAAAAATATTATAATGTTTAGTGACTTAAGAGTACAGTATCTTTCGATAATTAAATTGTTTAAGTGATGTACCACTGAATATTTTATGGGATTAACACATTCTCTGCGGATAAGTAAATGTTACAAGTTTAATTTTCAATATTTTTGAGGTTTACTGTATATATTTAGTACTTGTATATAATTTATAATTCTGAAGTGTTAATGTAGGTTCCCAAACTCGTTCAATAGGATTCATAACCCTACAGTACATTTACTATTTGCCCTATTAATGTTGAATTGCGTTAATTGTTAAGGGGTAGGTAAGGAATTATCAGGAGGTTGTGACTTTAGAAAATGGAAATTACTCCTTTGGTGAAAAATGGCGATGAAGATATATGTTTATATATTATATTAATCCGAGACGAGAAGGGAGTTCTGCCTGCGCTGCTGGTGGCGTGACTGGGATCAGCTTGGAAGCGGTCAGGTGGTTTTTATCGTATTTCCAGGGCAAGAGGGTGCCTAGTAAGCGTCCATATGGCAATTCGCCACTCCTCTCCCTTGTAAGTGCATTAGTTTTCTTTCATTTTTGCTCGCATCATGCCTGTGTTGAAACAATTTCCACTTGGTACATGTTACATCTCGGAACACTGTTGGCCAGGATGGCGTCGGTGTTGGCCAGGACGGCACCGGTATTCGGTGCATGGAGGGAGGTGGTCAGTGCGTGCGCAGAGAATTGAATTGTCACACCATACTGAAGCACCTCGACGACTGCCCCCACCCCAACGTGTGTTGTGCTGGTGAGTAACTAACCTCCAGGTTGTAGACGCCTTTCGATCATGACAATCTGGTGAATAAACTGGCCCTGTATTTGCCAACCTTTTTAAGAGTTCAAAAACAGTAGTCTTTCGAAAATTCAGTTTAAATCTTAAATAGATGTGAATACTGATGTCATTTATAACACTTTAAAATTAGAAGAATTAGAACGATATTGAGCATGGTGTTTATGGCACATTGGTAGACAAAACAAAAGAGGCATAACAGAACCCAGAGATAATTGTACAAATAATAATATTGAGATAATATTGATCTCAATATTATATGTGGTGAGGCGTAATGATTTTGGGAATAAGTGTGTGCTTAGCGCAGGGAAGCAGCGGCTGAGTTAGAAACGAGACCCGTATAGTGACCTTTGCTAATATAAAGAAAATAATACAAATAGAGCAAGTTTGGGAAATATTTAAGCATATCTTTTTGAACAACGAAGCTTGGATCACAGGGATATTGTTGAAGTAAATTATAAAACATGTTAAGGCAATTGGTATTAAACATGATGCAATGGGACAAGGTCGATATCGACTTCTAAGACAGATATGATTCAGCTAAACTAAATAAAAACGAGAAGGCCGACTCAGGCTTGGAGTGGGATTGAATGCAAATTTGTATCTATTAAATTTAAAAATTTAATGCATGCTTAAATTTATTATGTTTACAACTGGATTTTTTTTTTAACTATTTATAAATGCATTCTGCACATTTACGTTCTTTCATTTTTAATATTTGGTGAAGCTGTGCGGAAAGCAGAAGACAAAATAATCTTATTTCATTTTATTTACAGAAACTGATAATAAACACATTTGGTATTCATCTACAGACACACCTTTCCATCCAGAAAGGTTAGAGGGAAAGTCCATCAGAGAGGAAGTCAGGACGTCGAGGCAAAGCAACTTGGAAATAAATGCTGGTCTGGGCAAGAGGAAAAGTAGCCGCAAGGACAGCTTTCTGGGAAAGAATTCGGGTCAAGACAACAGATTTTTTGGAAACAAATCTTTAGAGATTGAAAAGAACAATATTTTAAACAGGTATAGGGGTTCTTTGAGTCAGCGTCAAGCCAGGAAAAAACTCAAGCACAAGACCACTTGGAGGGAGGAAAAGTTCCCCAAGCAAAATGGGAAGAAAAACGGCAAGGACAACACCACTAGGAAAACTGGAAAACACACTGGTCATGACGTAATGAGCAAAAAGTTCAACTCTAATGCAGAGAATTTGACGCTTTTTAAGTACAATATCACTTCCAGTGGAGAGACTAACAAACTTTCCAAACATAAGTTAAAGGGAAAGCTCAAACTTAACTCTAATGACAAAATACACAAGATACAGAAACAAAAAAGAAAACGTAAGCTCACATTCAGCGAGAAGAAAGACGACCTTTCAACAAGAAAACTAGAGAGAAATCGCAAGACCAACTCTGCTGGAAAAGATAAGATCTGGAAAAGCCAAGTGAAGAAAAATCGCAAGACCAATTCTGCTGGAAAAAATAAGCGCTCTAAAAGCAAACGGAAGAAAAATAGCAAGACCATTTCTGCATTAAAAGATAAGGTCTCTAAAAGGAAACGAACAAAAAATCACAAGACCAATAACGTTAGAAAAGATAAGATCTCTAAAAGCAAGCGGAAGAAAAATCGTAAGACCAACTCTGCTGGAAAAAATAAGATCTCGAAAAGCCAAGTGAAGAAAGATCGTAAGGCCAACTCTGCTGGAACAAATAAGAGCTCTAGAAACAAACGGAAGAAAAATCGCAAGACCAACTCTGCCGGAAGAAATAGGGTCACTAAAAACAAACGGAAGAAAAATAGCAAGACCAATTCTACTGGAAAAAATAGGGTCACTAAAAACAAACGGAAGAAAAATCGCAAGACCAATTCTACTGGAAAAAATAGGGTCACTAAAAACAAACGGAAGAAAAATAGCAAGACCAACTCTGCTGGAAGAAATAGGGTCACTAAAAGCAAACGGAAAAAAAATCGCAAGACCAATTCTACTGGAAAAAATAGGGTCACTAAAAACAAACGGAAGAAAAATCGCAAGACCAATTCTACTGGAAAAAATAGGGTCACTAAAAACAAACGGAAGAAAAATAGCAAGACCAATTCTACTGGAAAAAATAGGGTCACTAAAACAAACGGAAGAAAAATGGCAAGACCAATTCTACTGGAAAAAATAGGGTCACTAAAAACAAACGGAAGAAAAATCGCAAGACCAACTCTGCTGGGAGAAATAGGGTCACTAAAAACAAACGGAAGAAAAATCGCAAGACCAACTCTGCTGGGAGAAATAGGGTCACTAAAAGCAAACGGAAAAAAAATCGCAAGACCAATTCTACTGGAAAAATAGGGTCACTAAAAACAAACGGAAGAAAAATCGCAAGACCAACTCTGCTGGAAAAAATATGATTAAACTGAAGTTTGAAAATTCTGGCAGAAATGACAAGATTTCTAAACGGGGGGAAGAGAAAGGGAAGAAAAGTCGTGGTTCTAGGAAAAGACTAAAGCTTTCTGCACACAGAAATAAAGATAAGTTGTCGCACCCAAGAGATGAAGACACACGTCAACTTAATTCCCAAGGTAAGCTAACACCCTCAAACACCATTCCCAGTTATCAGAATTAGATTAATAGGAAAATTTAACTGGTTTTGAGCTAATACATCAACAATAACAAATATACACTATCAAAACCTTCAGTTATTCATATTTATGTAGAGAAGGAAGAGGGGGGGGGGGGGGAGAAGGGTTCTCGGTACCCTTTGGAGAAGCCAACACCTGTTTTTAAGTTTTATAGTTCCTTCATAATTTTTTTTTAATTCTGCCCCGCACAAAGTCCATCCGCACGCTGCTGTGCCGCATGGAGGCCATTCGTGCCTGAAACATTTCCTGGAAAGGTATTCCTTGCTCAGATTTTTCTACCGAGCTATAGTCATTCTGCAATCCACGACCGTTAGCAGGGTCGTTGGGCTGGCATTGCAGGTAATAAACTGTTTACTCTTAACAGTGGCCTGTCTCCTACCACCGTAATAGGCAATTGAAAACGACTTTGTGTAGGATGCGTATCGGTCACACCAGCTTAACTCGTGGCCACTTAATTGAACAATGTCCTGCTGATTTTTGTCCAAACTACATTGTACAGTTTATTCATATACTTGTAGAATGTCCCAATTTTTCGGGATGACCGTGTGTCTTTCTTTGGGTAATGTCCCTCTGGCCCATCTCTCCTTCGGTAGAATCCATGGTGAATCTGCTACTTTTGATATTGCTTTCCCTATGTTCCATTGTTCTTGTATTGGAATCTTGAGCGATACTTAGTGATCGTGTAACAATCCACAGGTTGCAAGGAGAAGAAGAAATGCAGAAAGAAGAGAGGAACTTGCAAGACTACTAAATGTTCCAAGAAAGAAAAGGAGATAAAGAAAGGTTGCAAAGGCAAGAAATGCAAGTGTTGTGCTCCTATTAAAGGTCAGTTGGTGTGTGCGCGTGCATGCGCGTGCCCGCAGGCTTCGCTGTTGCTTTTGTTGCTACTGTTTCACCTGCAAAGTACTGTTGCTGCTGCTACTACTACCTGTGTTACTCTTGTTCGGAAAATATCTGGGCCAATAAGGACTTGGAAATAGTTGTTTATTTACTAGGTAACATAATTGATGTGGGCTCGCTGTGTTGTTTTAAGCATAGGTATTATATATATATATATATATATATATATATATATATATATATATATATATATATATATATATATATATATATATATATATATATATATATATATATATATATATATATATATATATCGTACCTAATAGCCAGAACGCACTTCTGAGCCTACTATGCAAGGCCGAATTTGCCTAATAAGCCAAGTTTTCATGAATTAATTGTTTTTCGACTACCTAACCTACCTAACCTAACCTAACCTAACTTTTTCGGCTACCTAACCTAACCTAACCTATAAAGATAGGTTAGGTTAGGTTAGGTAGGGTTGGTTAGGTTCGGTCATATATCTTCGTTAATTTAAACTCCAATAAAAAAAAATTGACCTCATACATAATGAAATGGGTATCTTTATCATTTCATAAGAAAAAAAATAGAGAAAATATATTAATTCAGGAAAACTTGGCTTATTAGGCAAATCGAGCCTTGAATAGTAGGCCGAGAAGTGCGTTCTGGCTACTAGGTACGACATATATATATATATATATATATATATATATATATATATATATATATATATATATATATATATATATATATAATATATATATAAATATATAAAACACACACACACACACACACACACACACACACACACACACATATACATCCTACAGTACTTAGGGATCTAAGTGCTGTACTTCCTACTAAAACAGCCGTTCCTACTACCGCTCATATTCAGACTTGTATTCAAAAGAATGTATGTAAAAAAGAACAAGGGCAATGTGCCATTGAAGGGGCAGGAGTTACATATACTAATGGAGCCACTATTATGCAAAGCGTTTCGGGCAAACTTTAAGGTAATATATAATTTTTTATAAAGTTGTGAGTGGGTAAACACTTAATACTTTATTGCAACTATCGCTCCTACTACTACTACTATAACTTCCACCACCATAAACTTATCAACGTTCTAAAGACCTCGTAGCGTACTGTGCTTGTAGTGTAGTTCCTGGTCACAATAGTCATTAAGTTATTGGGAGGTCGCAATGTGTGATCCACTTCTTCCCTTCTTTACTCCCGTTTGCTTTTACTTTTTTCTCTCGTCATTCTCTCCCATTTTATGTGTCCCATCTGTTTCTATCATCTTGTTAATCCTCCTCCTCCTCCTTATAGTTCTTATCGTTCTTGCTCTTGTTCCTCTTCTTTCTCATCCACTCCTCTCTTTACTTCTACATTTGTTCCTCTTCCTCCCATAACCTTTAATATTCAAATTACTTTCATTGTTGCTAATTAGATCGTGTAACAATCCACAGGTTGTAAGGAGAAGAAGAAATGCAGAAAGAAGAAAGGAACTTGCAAGATTACGAAATGTTCCAAGAAAGAAAAGGAAATAAAGAAGGGTTGTAAAGGCAAGAAATGCAGGTGTTGTGCTCCTATTAAAGGTCAGTTGCTGTGTGTGTATGTCTTATTATTGCTGTTGCTAGTATTACTGTTAGTGCTGACATAGATCATTGGCATCTACCTATCGTCCAAACAGTTTAATTTCAATTGCAGAATCATTTCAATGGCTTTTTATACTCGTATGATAAAATAAATTGATACAGAATACTTGGATTTAAAACAATATTAAAATTGTTTCATCAAACGTGTTTGAAGGAATAGACAATAATAAAAATGACAGTACAAGATAGTGTTACGCACGAGGACTTGAGGAGGCAGGTAGACATGTGTTTTTGCACTGAACCTCCTAAACGAAATGAGGCCTTGGTGACCTCTGAAAAAAAATGACCTAAGAAAAATAGGGACACAATTGCGGACTCCAGTTATTAAAATAATTTTGGGAGTCATAACTGGTAGGGATCTAAAACGAAAGCGGCAATATATTAGTGTTCAACATAAGGTCAGTAGGTACTAGAATTCATATCCAGACAAAAATTTTTGTGGTATTCAGCTTTATCTTACCCTGACCAGCAGTCTCCGTGGCGCAGTGGTAAGACACTCGCCTGGCGTTTCGCAAGCGCCTTGCCTTGGGTTCGAATCCTGGCCGGGGAGGATTGACCGGCGCCAATCCTTAACTGTAGCCTCTGTTCACCCAGCAGTGAATGGGTACCTGGTTGTTAAACGATTCGGCGGGTCGTATTCCGGGAAATTAGGGTTAAGGACCTTGCCCGAAACGCTACGCGTAATAGTGGCTTTACAAGAATGTAAAACTCTTGTAAACTGATGAGACCCCACTTTAGATTATGAAGTGTAGTTTAGAACGTAATCTATTTAAATACATAAATTCTCTAGTGAGTATACATTGCAGGATGACTTTGTTAATCCCAGTCATTGGGGGAATCTCGTTTATCGATAATCATTGAATTAGTCTGTTTAGGGTTACCAAGTAACTTAGAAGTCAACTCGCTGGAATCTTCCAAGCTTAAACTACTGTTGCTACAGCCACACCAGCTACAGTAACATCACCTGCAACAATTCCAAAATACAACAGCTAATGACAGAAGGAAGACAGCTAATGTAGTCCCAATTTACAAAAAGGGTGACAGGCAAGAGTCACTGAACTACAGGCCAGTTTCCCTAACTTGTATACCATGCAAGGTGATGGAGAAGATTGTGAGGAAAAGGCTCGTAGAGAATCTGGAGGGAAACACCTTTGTAACACACCACCAGCAAGGGTTCAGAGATGGTAAATCGTGCCTCACAGGCCTAATAGAATTTTATGACCAAGCAACTCAAATTAGACAGGAAAGAGATGGGTGGGCAGACTGCATTTTCTTGGACTGTCAGAAAGCCTTTGACACAGTACCTTACGAAAGGCTGTTACAAAAGTTGGAGGAGCAGGCAGGAGTAAAAGGTAAGGTGCTCCAGTGGATTAGGGAGTATCTAAGCAATAGGAAACAGCGAGTAACGGTGAGGGGGGAGGTATCAGAGTGGCGAGATGTCACCAGCGGGGTTCCACAGGGCTCTGTTCTCGGACCCATCCTGTTTCTAGCATATGTAAACGACCTTCCAGAGGGTATAGACATAAGAACATAAGAACATAAGAACAAAGGTAACTGCAGAAGGCCTATTGGCCCATACGAGGCAGCTCCTATTCTATAACCACCCAATCCCACTCATATACTTGTCCAACCCGTGCTTGAAACAATCGAGGGACCCCACCTCCACAATGTTACGCGGCAATTGGTTCCACAAATCAACAACCCTGTTACTGAACCAGTATTTACCCAAGTCTTTCCTAAATCTAAACTTATCCAATTTATATCCATTGTTTCGTGTTCTGTCCTGTGTTGATACTTTTAATACCCTATTAATATCCCCCCGGTTATGTCCATTCATCCACTTGTAAACCTCTATCATGTCACCCCTAACTCTTCGCCTTTCCAGTGAATGCAACTTAAGCTTTGTTAATCTTTCTTCATATGAAAGATTTCTAATTTGGGGAATTAACTTAGTCATCCTACGCTGGACACGTTCAAGTGAATTTATATCCATTCTATAATATGGCGACCAAAACTGAACTGCATAATCTAAATGGGGCCTAACTAGAGCAAGATATAGCTTGAGAACCACACCAGGTGTCTTGTTACTAACGCTGCGATTAATAAATCCAAGTGTCCGATTTGCCTTATTACGAACATTTATGCATTGATCCTTTTGTTTTAAATTCTTACTAATCATAACTCCCAGATCCCTTTCGCAATCCGACTTCGCAATCACAACACCATCTAGCTCGTATCTTGTAACTCTATCATCATTACCTAACCTCAGAACTTTACATTTATCAGCATTAAACTGCATCTGCCAATCCTTTGACCATTTCAAAACCCTATCTAGATCCACTTGAAGTGATAGTGAGTCCTCCTCCGAATTAATTTCCCTACCGATTTTCGTATCATCGGCAAATTTGCAAATGTTGCTACTCAAACCTGAATCTAAATCATTTATATATATTATAAACAACAGAGGTCCCAGGACAGAGCCTTGAGGCACTCCACTTACAACATTTTCCCACTCTGACTTGATTCCATTTATACTAACTCTCTGTTTCCTTTGGTATAGCCATGCCCTAATCCAGCTTAATATAGCACCCCCAATACCATGAGACTCTATTTTTTTAATCAGTCTTTCATGTGGCACTGTATCAAAAGCTTTGCTAAAGTCAAGGTATACAACATCGCAATCCTTACCACTATCAACTGCCTCAACAATGCTAGAATAAAAAGATAACAAATTTGTTAAACATGACGGCCATTTATAAAACCATGTTGCGACTCGATTATTAATTTATGTTTTTCAAGATGAAGACGAATTTTATTTGCTATTATAGATTCGAGTAACTTTCCCACAATAGACGTTAGGCTAATTGGTCGATAGTTAGACGCAAGTGATCTATCTCCTTTCTTAAAAATTGGTATCACATTAGCAACTTTCCAAAACTCTGGCACTCTGCCTGACTCTATTGATTTATTAAATATGGTTGACAGTGGGTCACAAAGCTCCTCTTTGCATTCTTTAAGCACCCTAGCAAACACTTCATCCGGCCCTGGGGATTTGTTTGGTTTGAGTTTTACTATTTGTTTAAGAACATCCTCCCTGGTAACTGCTAAACTCGTCAACCTGTCCTCGTCCCCACCCACATAGACTTGTTCGGCTGAAGGCATATTGTTAAGTTCCTCTTTAGTAAATACAGATACAAAATATTTATTAAAAATACTACTCATCTCTTCATCACTATCTGTTATTTGACCTGTCTCAGTTTTTAATGGACCTGTCCTTTCCCTAGTCTTAGTACGATATAACTGAAAAAACCCTTTAGGATTTGTCTTTGCTTGCCCTGCTATGCGAACTTCATAGTTTCTTTTTGCTTTCCTTATCTCTTTTTTAACATTTCTAACCAGTTGTACGAATTCCTGTTCTAAAGTGACCTCCCCATTTTTAATCCTTTTGTACCAAGCTCTCTTTTTACCTATAAGGTTCTTCAATTCTTTGTTATCCACTTTGGGTCATTAGTATACGATCTATTCAATTTGTATGGTATACTACGTTCCTGTGCTTTGTTTAGAATATTCTTAAATAAGTTATATATTAAATCCACATCGAAATCCCCATTTAAGTCACCTATCGCTGGGTTCATGTCTCGCTCCAAGACCGGCCCACACCCCATACCCAAGCCTTTCCAATCAATTTGACCCAAAATAAATTAAATAAATTAATTGAAGAAAGAATCATCAAAGTTAAGGATTCATGGACTGAAATGAGCACTATTGACTTGGATCAGACAACGCCTCTCAAAAGCTGTGAAGTACAGACTCAGACTCAAGTTGAAACCACAAAGGATGCTTCAGTTTCAACTCATAATACTCCATGTTTTTATGAACAACCACCACAAGATGATCTTTCATGTCACCCACTACCTCAGCTACATTTGTTCCTCTTCCTCCCCTAACCTTTAATATTCAAATTACTTTCATTGTTGCTAATTAGATCGTGTAACAATCCACAGGTTGTAAGGAGAAGAAGAAATGCAGAAAGAAGAAAGGAACTTGCAAGATTACGAAATGTTCCAAGAAAGAAAAGGAAATAAAGAAGGGTTGTAAAGGCAAGAAATGCAGGTGTTGTGCTCCTATTAAAGGTCAGTTGCTGTGTGTGTATATGTCTTATTATTGCTGTTGCTAGTACTGTATTACTGTTAGTGCTGACATAGATCATTGGCATCTACCTATCGTCCAAACAGTTTAATTTCAATTGCAGAATCATTTCAAGGGCTTTTTATACTCGTATAATAAAACAAATTGATACAGAATACTTGGATTTAAAACAATATTAAAATTGTTTCATCAAACGTGTTTGAAGGAATAGACAATAATAAAAATGACAGTACAAGATAGTGTTACGCACGAGGACTTGAGGAGGCAGGTAGACATGTGTTTTTGCACTGAACCTCCTAAACGAAATGAGGCCTTGGTGACCTCTGAAAAAAAATGACCTAAGAAAAATAGGGACACAATTGCGGACTCCAGTTATTAAAATAATTTTGGGAGTCATAACTGGTAGGGATCTAAAACGAAAGCGGCAATATATTAGTGTTCAACATAAGGTCAGTAGGTACTGGAATTCATATCCAGACAAATTTTTGTGGTATTCAGCTTTATCTTACCCTGATGAGACCCCACTTTAGATTATGAAGTGTAGTTTAGAACGTAATCTATTTAAATTCATAAATTCTCTAGTGAGTATACATTGCAGGATGACTTTGTTAATCCCAGTCATTAGGGGAATCTCGTTTATCGATAATCATTGAATTAGTCTGTTTAGGGTTACCAAGTAACTTAGAAGTCAACTCGCTGGAATCTTCCAAGCTTAAACTACTGTTGCTACAGCCACACCAGCTACAGTAACATCACCTGCAACAATTCCAAAATACAACAGCTAATGACAGAAGGAAGACAGCTGGAAGACAGCTAATGTAGTCCCAATTTACAAAAAGGGTGACAGGCAAGAGTCACTGAACTACAGGCCAGTTTCCCTAACTTGTATACCATGCAAGGTGATGGAGAAGATTGTGAGGAAAAGGCTCGTAGAGAATCTGGAGGGAAACACCTTTGTAACACACCACCAGCATGGGTTCAGAGATGGTAAATCGTGCCTCACAGGCCTAATAGAATTTTATGACCAAGCAACTCAAATTAGGCAGGAAAGAGATGGGTGGGCAGACTGCATTTTCTTGGACTGTCAGAAAGCCTTTGACACAGTACCTCACGAAAGGCTGTTACAAAAGTTGGAGGAGCAGGCAGGAGTAAAAGGTAAGGTGCTCCAGTGGATTAGGGAGTATCTAAGCAATAGGAAACAGCGAGTAACGGTGAGGGGGGAGGTATCAGAGTGGCGAGATGTCACCAGCGGGGTTCCACAGGGCTCTGTTCTCGGACCCATCCTGTTTCTAGCATATGTAAACGACCTTCCAGAGGGTATAGACTCATTCCTCTCAATGTTTGCTGATGACGCAAAAATTATGAGAAGAATCAAAACGGATGAAGATAGACAGAGACTACAGGACGACCTGGACAAACTGGAGGAATGGTCTAGAAAATGGCTGCTAAAGTTCAACTCAGGAAAGTGTAAAGTAATGAAATTGGGCGAAGGGAGCAGAAGGCTGAACACAAGGTACCATCTGGGAGGTGAAATCCTACAAGAGTCAAATAGAGATAGATCTGGGGGTCGATATCACACCAAACCTGTCCCCAGAGGCCCACATCAAAAGGATATCATCAGCGGCATATGCTAGACTGGCCAATATAAGAACTGCCTTTAGAAACTTGTGTAAGGAATCGTTCAGGACCCTTTATACCATTTATGCAAGACCAATCTTGGAGTATGCAGCTCCAGCCTGGAGTCCATACCTAGTTAAACACAAGACGAAGTTAGAGAAGATTCAGAGGTATGCCACCAGACTGGTCCCGGAACTGAGAGGAAAGAGTTACGAGGAAAGGCTAAGGGAGCTGAACCTCACAACCCTGGAAAACAGAAGAGTAAGGGGGAGACATGATAACCACCTACAAAATTCTCAGGGGAATTGACAGGGTGGACAAAGACAAACTCTTTAGGGCGGGTGGAACATGAACAAGGGGACACAGGTGGAAACTTAGTACCCAGATGAGCCACAGAGACGCTAGAAAGAACTTTTTCAGTGTCAGGGTAGTTAACAAATGGAATACATTAAGTAGTGTTGTGGTGGAGGCTGACTCCATACAAAGTTTCAAATGTAGATATGATAGAGCCCAATAGGCTCAGGAATCTCTACACCAGTTGATTGACAGTTGAGAGGCGGGACCAAAGAGCCAGAGCTTAACCCCCGCAAATACAACTAGGTGAGTACAACAGTTGAGAGCGCACGAACAAAAATAATATAGCTCTCGTATAACTTAATAATAAAGGGTGTTGATGGCAGTGTACTTCCCGAAGTGTGGCAGCGGAGATTCTTATAGCTCATGGGGCCCCGCCTCTTGAGGATAAATTTGCCGTGTGTATAGTACACGAGAACGTATGGCCGTTTACCTCACACATTGTATAGTTCACACTAATTACTTTCCTCTATGTACAGTTCACCCATCCATTGTATAGCGTCACGCATACGCTGTAAACATTCACATACACACTGTATTAATTATAACCCCCAAGCTCCCCCTTATCTTTCGTTTCCCTTTCGATTTTTCCACCATTTACTTCTCCCTTTTCACTTCCCATTTTAACTTGGGTTCCTGTGGCAGAGTGGTGAGCGCGTCTGTCTGTCAGGCAGAAAGTCCAGAATTCAATATCAGCGCGAAACGGAGAAGTTTGGAGGCGTTTCCCTTCACTTAATGGCTTTGTTCACCTAGCAGTAAATAGGTACCCAGGAGTTAGGCAACTGTTGTGGGTTGTATCCTGGGAAGGTCGTTAGCTGGCTTAGGGAAAGGGAGAGATTTGGAAGAGTCGATCAGGATTCATAGTGACAGGATGAACAACCCAGCGGGTTTTCTTCCTATTGGGGAGTGTTGTACAAGCTGCTATGGCGGTATGTCCACTCACAAGATGAGTGGCGCTGCCCAATAAACTCGCCCCTCGGGGCAAAATTTAATTTATCCGCGGGGACAGGGTTAACCTATAACAAAATTTCCCCTATTCCTCCTTGCCTTTTACCCCCATTCCCTCTTGCCTCCCCCTCCCCTTTATTCCTATTCCCTCGCGAATTTTCCCCTCATATTTCCATTCCCTCTCGCCTTTTCCCTTCTCGTATGTTACTATTTATTTTTATATGAAGAGAGTACGTTTATGCAACTTTTTCCAGGTTGCAAGGAGAGGAAGAAATGCCGAAAGAAGAGGGGCACTTGCAAGATTAGGTTATGTTCCAAAAATGAAACCGAGATCAAGAAAGGTTGCAAAGGCAAGGACTGCAGGTGCTGTGCTCCTTTTGAAGGTCAGTTGATATTTGTATGTAACTCACTATTACAGCAGGTGCTGCTGCTACTTATAAGAACATAAGAACAAAGGTAACTGCAGAAGGCCTATTGGCCCATACGAGGCAGTTCCTATTTATAACCACCCAATCCCACTCATATACATGTCCAACCCATGCTTGAAACAATCGAGGGACCCCACCTCCACCACGTTACGCGGCAATTGGTTACACAAATCAACAACTCTGTTACTGAACCAGTATTTACCCAAGTCTTTCCTAAATCTAAACTTATCCAATTTATACCCATTGTTTCGTGTTCTGTCTTGTGTTGATACTTTTAATACCCTATTAATATCCCCTTTGTTATGTCCATTCATCCATTTGTAAACCTCTATCATGTCACCCCTAACTCTTCGCCTTTCCAGTGAATCCAACTTAAGCTTTGTTAATCTTTCTTCATATGAAAGATTTCTAATTTGGGGAATTAACTTAGTCATCCTACCCTGGACACGTTCAAGTGAATTTATATCCATTCTATAGTATGGCGGCCAAAACTGAACTGCATAATCTAAATAGGGCCTAACCAGAGCTAGATATAGCTGAAGAACCACACCAGGTGTCTTGTTACCAACGCTTTGATTAATAAATCCCAGTGTCCTATTTGCCTTATTACGAACATTCATGCATTGATCCTTTTGTTTTAAATTCTTACTAATCATAACACCCAGATCCCTTTCGCAGTCCGACTTCGCAATCTCGGCACCATCTAGCTCGTATCTTGTAACTCTATCATCATTACTTAGCCTCAGAACTTTACATTTATCAGCATTAAACTGCATCTGCCAATCCTTTGACCATTTCAAAACCCTATTTAGATCAACTTGAAGTGATAGTCTTCTTCTGTGTAAATTTCCCTACCGATTTTTGTATCATTGGCAAATTTTTATTTATTTATTTATTTTTTATTTATTTATTTATTTATGCATATACAAGAATGTACATAAGGAATGTGAGGATACAAATATGGTAATTACAGTCTTGTAAAGCCACTAGTACGCGCAGCGTTTCGGGCAGGTCCTTAATCTAAGAAAATTTTAAGGAGGTAAATACTTGCAAAATTTATAGACAAAAAATGATAACAGTTACATGAAATGAAAAAAAGAAGATGAGAGAAAATTGTAGGTACAGTATATTAAAGCACATAGGTAGCTAAGATTGATTGCAATGACAGCTTGAATGGTAGTTGACAAAAATTGGTAGGCACAATACAGCAGAAACAATATAAGATTGATTGCAATGACAGCTTGAATGGTAGTTGACAAATTGGTAGTCACAATACAGCATATGGCTAGCACATAAAACAAGACAGCAATGAACACAATGATAAGGTTGTTTGATATTACATAAAAATTAGGAGATTAAGTAACACTAGGTGCAGAGCAAATTTAAAGCTCAGTGTAGGAAACTAAGAAGATGAAGTTAGGTACTTTTTGGTTTTGCTTTTAAATAAGGCAAAAGTTTTACAGTTTTTCAATTCACTAGGGAGTGAGTTCCATAGACTAGGTCCCTTAATTTGCATAGTGTTTACACAGATTAAGTTTGACCCTGGGGATATCAAAGAGATATTTATTTCTGGTGTGGTGATAATGGGTCCTATTACATCTGTCCAGGGAGAGTTTCAGAGCATGGTTTGCATTTAAGAACAGGGTTTTGTAAATGTAGTTGACACAAGAGAATGTGTGGAGGGAGTTAATATTTAGCAAGTTTAGGGATTTAAACAAGGGAGCTGAGTGTTGTCTGAAAGCAGAGTTAGTTATTATTCTGATAGCAGATTTTTGCTGTGTGATGATGGGCTTAAGTTGGTTTGCAGTGGTAGACCCCCATGCACAGATACCATAATTAAGATAGGGGTAGATTAGTGCATAATATAGTGAGAGGAGAGCAGAGTTAGGAACATATCTGATTTTGGAGAGTATACCAACTGTCTTAGAGACTTTCTTAGTTATGTGTTGAATGTGGGTGCTGAAGTTGAGTCTCTTGTCTAGGAATAGGCCAAGAAACTTGCCATCATTTTTATTACTGATGTTAATGTTGTCTATCTGTAGCTGAATTGCATTTGATGATTTGCTTCCAAATAAGATGTAGTAAGTCTTTTCGATGTTTAATGTTAGTTTGTTCATTGACATCCATAAGTGGACTTTTTTTAATTCATTATTCACAACATTATTTAGTGTATGTGGGTTGAGGTTTGAATAGATAAGGGTAGTATCGTCAGCAAACAATATAGGTTTGAGAATATTAGAGACATTAGGCAGATCGTTTATATATATAAGAAATAGAAGAGGTCCTAAGATGCTGCCCTGTGGCACTCCAACGGTAATTGGTAGAGTGGAAGAAGTTGTATCATTGATGGTTACATATTGGTGTCTGTCACTAAGATAGGATCGGATGTAGTCAAGGACAAGGCCTCGGATTCCATAATGCTGGAGTTTAAGTAAGAGGTAGTTGTGATTAACAGTATCAAAGGCTTTTCTTAGGTCAATGAAGAGTCCAATCGGAAACTCATTTTTGTCAAGGGCTGAGTAGATAATGTCAAGGAGACTAATGATTGCATCGTTGGTGCTCTTTTGAGACCGGAAGCCAAACTGGCAGGGGCTGAGTATGTCGAATTTTACGAGGTAGGAATAGAGCTGTTTGTAAATAATTTTTTCAAATATTTTTGATAGAATGGGTAGATTTGATATTGGTCTATAATTGTTTATGTCCGCCGGATTGCCTCCTTTATGGACTGGCGTCACTCTTGCTTTTTTTTTGCAAATGTTGCTACTCAAACCTGAATCTAAATCATTTATATATATTATAAACAACAGAGGTCCCAGGACAGAGCCTTAATTGAGGCACTCCACTTACAACATTTTCCCACTCTGACTTGACTCCATTTATACTAACTCTGTTTCCTTTGGTTTGTTTCCATGCCCTAATCCAGCATAATATAGTACCTCCTATACCATGAGCCTCTATCTTTTTTAATCAGTCTTTCATGTGGCACTGTATCAAAAGCTTTGCTAAAGTCAAGGTACACAACATCACAATCCTTACCACTATCAACTGCCTCAGCTATGCTAGAATAAAAAGATAACAAATTTGTTAAACATGAACGGCCATTTATAAAACCATGTTGCGACTCGATTATTAATTTGTTTTTCAAGATGAAGACGAATTTTATTTGCAATTATCGATTTGAGTAACTTTCCCACAATAGAAGTTAGGCTAATTGACCAATAGTTTGATGCAAGTGATCTATCTGCTTTCTTAAAAACTGGTATCACATTAGCAACTTTCCATAACTCTGGCACTCTGCCTGACTCTATTGATTTACTAAATATAGTAGACAGTGGGTCGTAAAGCTCCTCTTTGCATTCTTTAAGCACCCTGGCAAACACTTCATCCGGCCCTGGGGATTTGTTTGGTTTGAGTTTTACTATTTGTTTAATTACATCCTCCCTGGTAACTGCTAAACTAGTCAACCTGTCCTCGTCCCCACCCACATAGACTTGTTCGGCTGAAGGCATATTGTTAAGTTCCTCTTTAGTAAATACAGATATAAAATATTTATTAAAAATACTACTCATCTCTTCATCACTATCTGTTATTTGACCTGTCTCAGTTTCTAATTAATGGACCTATCCTTTCCCTAATCTTTGTCCGGTATAACTGGAAAAACCCTTTAGAATTTGTCTTCGCTTGCTCTGCTATGCAAACTTCATAGTTTCTTTTTGCTTTCCTTATCTCTCTTTTTTAGTATTTCTAACCAGTTGTACGAATTCCTGTTCTAAACTGACTTCCCCATTCTGAATCCTTTTGTACCACACTCATTTTACCTACAAGGTTCTTCAGATCCTTTGTTATCCACTTTGGATCATTAGTATTCAATCTATTCAATTTATATGGTATACTACATTCCTGGGCTTTGCTTAGAATATTTTTAAATAGGTTATATTTTGAATCCACATCGAAAACCCTTTTTACGTCACTTATCGCTGGGTTCACGTCTAGCTCCAAGACCGGCCCACACCCCATACCCAAGACTTTCCAATCTATTTGACCCCAAAAATTTCTTAGGCTATTGAAATCAGCTTTTTGAAAATCAGGCACTTTTAACAGAATTTTCTCCTACAGATCTATTCCATTTAATGCTAAATCTGATTTCTTTATGATCCCTGTGCCCTATTTCGATGTCCTTAATTTGTGTTTCCCTGTTAGTTAACACTAAATCTAAAATATTATTTTCCTGCGTTGGTTCCTTAATGTGTTGCATAAGAAAGCAATCGTCAATTAATTCCAGAAAATCTTCTGCTTCATTATTCCCTGTTTTGTTCAACCAGTTTATTCCACTAAAATTAGTCACCCATGACATAAATACTGTTAGATCTAGATGCTCTAGATATTTCATCCCATAGATGCTTTGCTTCCATTCTGTCTAAATTTGGTGGCCTGTATATAACTCCTATTATAACCTGTATTATTTATAATTATTGAAATAAGGTAGTGGTGTGGATGGTGTCATAGGCCTCGGCCGTCAAGCAGTTTTGTGTAAGTGTGCTTGTGTGCGTGCCAAATGTGCGAGTGCCACCATAGTCTTGCATTTCGTAAATCAGAGGGAGAGATTGCTGAGCATAAAGAAGTCAGTAGTATTATATGAAGTCTAATAAGAGTCAAATATTCAGCTCATAGGGAATGCAAATTGTCAGATCTGATGAATGAACAAATCCACAAGGGCTGTGACGAGGGTTCGAATTTGTTCAAATCCCTATATTTGTGAATAAATATAGGGATTTGTTCATTTGATGCATCACGCTATTGTGATTTTTGTGAATATATATAGTATATGAATGACTCCTATATACAGTGTTGAGTACCAGAAGGCAGTGGTGTAGCTATTTTCAGCGAGACCAAGATGATCAGCAAGCACAGCTAAGACGTTGTCACAGGTTCGTGCCAGTAGAATCTGAAACTCTTGGCTCCTGGGGGTAAATCCCTTAAGGTGTAGGGCAAGTAATTCTTTAAGCACACTTGAGATGCAAAAGTGGCCTGTTTCTTTTTCCAGTGCCTCAGTGTTGCAGTCTAGAGAGGAAATGCTTGCCATATCTTGTCCATTATAATTTTTTTATTAAATCAAAGGCCTTGCTCCACCCTATTCAGGTGACAGAACACAAACAATAATCTACTCATTTCAAAATATTAATATAAAAATTGTTTCTTACGAATATTCTTTTCAAACAAAAATAAAAATCAACTCTTGCATTGCAGTCTGTGAGCCAGGAAGTACATGTACCATTATGAACGGCACCTGCACAACCTCACAGTGCTTACCTATTGAGCTGGAGATCCCACAAGGGTGTACAGGCGACGGGTGTAGGTGCTGCGCCCCTAAAGGTCAGTAGCAATCAATGTATTTACAAATGTATTTACACTTGACATGCACAACCTACTGGTCCAGAAAATGCAATATTTAAATTATAATCTGGAATTTCTTAATAAATAGGAAAAGATTTTTACTACAACTGCATGTTTCAAAATATAAAATATGAAGCCTAACAACCCATTCTCTTTTCAACATTAGTGTGTCATCAAGAAAGTGTATGTACCACTTGGAATGGAACCTGCAGGACATCGCAGTGTTCAGTAGATGAGCAGGAGATTGTACAGGGTTGTACAGGCGACGGGTGTAGGTGCTGCGCCTCTAAAGGTCCAGGTCAGTAATAATTATATTTTTGCACTGCAGGTTTGTCAAGCTAAAAGTGATCTAAACCTGTTTGTGTACATGTCACTTGACGAATGGTTGTAAACAAGTAAGTTTGTATTTTTTTATATTGAAACATTTAAAATTAATATAAATATAGAAAGCAAATATAGGGGAAAAAAAGTTTGCATTGTATTTCTTTTGTAAGTGCATTTCTCATTTTTGTAAATTATATTTATTTATTTATCATTCACCTAATTATTATCAGAATTTTATGCTAGAATATATATACCTAAATACCATTCTCCTCTCTGTTGTTCTCTGTTGTAACAAAGGGAAACACTTTTGTATAGCAAATCTTTGTGTACTTGTCTTGTCCTGATTCACACAATTTAACTTGTATATTAATATATATTCACCATTCAATATTTATATAACTAAAAATATTCTAGAGCAGGTCTACTTTTTAAACTAGAAAACTAAACCACCTCCCTCACCTTCATATTACAGTGTGTCAGCCAGAGAGTACATGTTCCATTATGAACGGCACCTGCACAACCTCACAGTGTTTACCTGTTGAGCAGGAGATCCCACAAGGCTGTACAGGCGACGGATGTAGGTGCTGCGCCCCTAAAGGTCCAGGTCAGTAATAAACAATATACAGTATTTACACTAGCTGCAGTAGCGCGCACGTTGTAATTGGTGATCAACCCATGGTATAGTTCAGGCATTCGTCTGGCTTTATGTTGATAAATATTGATAAGTACTTTCATGCAACTGTGTTTATAAAATGTAAAATATGCAGGCTAACTACGAATCCTTTTTACAATATTTCAGTGTGTCAGCCAGAGAGTACATGTACCACCAAGAAAGGCACCTGCACAACATCGCAGTGTTCAGCTGATGAGCGGGAGATCCCACAAGGCTGTACAGGCATTGGGTGTAGGTGCTGTGCCCCTAAAGGTCCAGGTCAGTAGAAATTATATTTACACAAATTTGGGCACACATGCACGATCTTGTGATCACGCACGTACAGCACCTAAGCTGTAATAAATTACTTAGCAACCATACAAATGCAATCAACCAAAAGGCTTAACAATTCTTGGCTTACAAAGGGAATACTTAAATCCATTAATAAAAAACATGACCATGAGAAGAAATATAGGTTAGGAACCGTCTCCAAAGAATTCTCAAAGAATTACTCGTTATTGCTATCTAAAATAATTAGACGAGCCAAAACTAAATACTACGAAGATAAATTTACCCAAATAAAGAGCAACATTAAAAAAACTTGGAGCACAATTTCACAAATATTGGGATCAAAGAAGATTTTAAATAACAAACCAACACTCCTGTCCAATAACGATGTTCAGCTTTCAGCCTCTGATTCTGCTCTTGAGTTCAATAGGTTCTTCTCTTCCATTGGGTCATCCCTTGCAAATGATATTCCATCGTCCAGTACTAATATTCAGAACTATCTTACAGGTAACTGTCCACAGTCTCTGTACCTAAAGCCTACTAATTCCACTGACGTCAATGAGATAATCCTTTCCCTTAAAACCAAGTCTAGTGCCCTTGAGGAGATACCAACTTTAATTTACAAAAAAGCCTCCAGATCTTTAGCCCCTGCTATTGCATTGCTCTTCAACAAGTCACTTGAACTGCAAACCTTTCCAGATATTCTAAAAAAAGTGAGAGTAACCCCTGTCCACAAATGTGGTGATTTCACAGATGTTAACAACTACAGACCTATATCAATCCTGCCTAACTTGTCAAAAATATTTGAAAATCTAATCTACAAGCAGCTTTACTCTTATCTAGCCAAACACAATATACTTAGCTCTTGTCAATATGGCTTCAGACCCAAAAAATGCACTAGCGATGCACTTGTTAGTATGATTAACTTGATTCATGCAGCTCTTGATAAAAATGAGTTCCCTGTTGGGTTACTTGTGGACCTGCGTAAGACTTTTGACACTGTCAACCACCAAAACCTTCTTCTTAAATTACATCATTATGGAGTCAGAGGTCACTCCCTGCAATACCTCAAATCTTACCTTACTGACAGGCTCCAGTATGTTTCTGTGAATAATTCAATTTCTCCCACCCTACCCATCAACATTGGTGTTCCTCAGGGCAGCATACTTGGCTCTCTCCTCTTTCTTATCTACATTAATGACCTTCCAAATGCCTCCCAACACCTCAAACCAATTCTATTTGCTGACGACGACAACCTTCATTTACTCCAGTCCTGACCCCCTTGCTCTAAATGCCACAGTAAATACTGAGCTAAATAAAGTCCATCTTTGGCTAACTGCCAACAAACTCACCCTTAACATTGACAAAACTTTCTATATTCTGTTTGGCAATAAATCCTCTAATCAAATAAATCTCAAAATAAACAATACCCAAATTTGTAACAAATTAGATGGCAAGTTCCTTGGCGTTCTCATTGATCACAAGCTGAATTTCCAGGGACACATTCTAAATATATCAAAAAAAGTTTCAAAAACTGTTGGCATTCTTTCTGAGATCAGATATGTACTCTGCCCTGGTGACTCTATTACTCCCTCATCTATCCATATCTCAACTATGGTATTTGTGCTTGGTGTTCTACTACCTAAAATCATTTATGTCCTCTAATTACTCAACACAAAGCTGCTATTAGGACAATATCCAACTCTGGCCCCAGACATCACTCGGTACCCCTACTCAAATCTCTGAATATGTTAGATATTAAGTCACTGTACATTCTCTCATGTGTATTATACATATATAAATCGCTGAACTGTAATGCCAATCCTGACCTCAAAAGCTTCACTGAAGGTTGTAAAAGAACCCATGAGCACCACACCAGAAATAAACACAGTTTTGATATTCCAAGAGTACGACTTAATCAAACTAGAAATGCTCTACAAATCAAGGGACCCAGAATGTGGAATGACCTTCTCAATCATGTTAAAAGACTGTACCTCTCTCATCCAGTTTAAGATAAAAACGAAGCACTACCTAATAAATTCCCTGTAACCTACCTTACCCCTCAATTGTCAACCAATGTCTGTTTTTTTTTTTAAACAACGCTGTTTGTCGACCTAATTGTATTTGTGCTGCTTTTTCAGCCATGTTCCCCCCTATTTTATCTCTATTTTTATTTGTTCTCAACTTATTTTACACATTTTATTCTTTATACCCAATTAGTATTAAGCTTTAGTCATTAATGTTTTACCTGCCTGAAACGCTTTGCGTAATAGTGGCTTTAGGCATTGTATGTACTAGCCCTATCTATAAATCCATCAATCTTTGTAAAATCTCTTGTATGTATGTACCTTACCTAAATAAACATTTATTTATTTATTTATAATAAATTAAATTATGATCCTTTTTTCATAAATATTTACAAATGAATTATTTTGCAACTTTGCTATTCAACCTATAAATTGTCAAGCCCAACAAACTTGCCTCTTTTTATTTCAGCCTGTCAGCAAGAGAGTTTATGTACCACCAAGAATGGCACCTGCAAAACATCACTGTGTTCAACAAGTGAAGTAGAGATTCCACAAGGTTGTACAGGCGATGGGTGTAGGTGCTGCACCCCTAAAGGTCAGTAGCAATTTTATTTTCGCATTGTACCATTTTTAGAAGGTAAAAATAAAAAACTTAGAATAATTAGAAATTCATCCATCAAATTAAATTATTACTCACTCCTTTTCATACCAAGAACTTCAACATAATCTTGTAGATCTTGAGATAGAGTGAAATCGACACCAGTAATTCCATCTATCATCATGCTATCATTCAAGAGGAGCCACACATCAATGGATCATCCAATAAAATCGGCAATTTTCTAGATGTTACTACTGCTCGGCATAGACTCGGTTACATGTATTTCTGGGAATTCTCATTATCTGCTGATGTAGAGCTGACCAAATGTAAACTGTGTCAACAAAATTATTCACAGGGCCCCCTCTGTCACTGTGATGGAATGCGAAATAATACGTGAATTCAGAGACAATTCTACAAAAAATGTTCCATAGATGTGTAAATAATAATAATAATAATAATAATAATAATCTTTATTTAGGTAAGGTACATACATAAAGAGATTTACAAAGTTTGTTGGCTTTATAGATAGAGCTAGTACATACAATGCCTAAAGCCACTATTACGCAAAGCGTTTCGGGCAGGAAAAACATTAATGACTACAGCTTAAAACTAATGGGTAAAAAGAAAAGATGTGATGAGTACATATAAAAAATAGAGGTAAAAGAGGGGGGAACATTGTTGAAAAAGCAGCACAAATACAATTACAGAAAATTACATTCAAACAGCTTTGATTTGAAAAACAAAAAAACAAAAAATATACATGGGTTGACAACAGGGGGGGTAAGGTGGGTTACATGGAATTTATTAGGTATAGCTTCGTTTTTAACTTAAACTGGTTGAGAGAGGTACAGTCTTTAACATGGTTGGGAAGGTCATTCCACATTCTGGGCCCCTTGATTTGTAGAGCATTTCTGGTTTGATTTAGTCGTACTCTAGGAATATCAAAACTGTATTTATTTCTGGTGTGGTGCTCATGGGTTCTGTTACAACCTTCTATGAAGCTTTTGAGATCAGGATTGGCATTATAGTTTAGCGTTTTATATAATGTATAATACACATGAGAGAATGTGCAGTGACTTAATGTCTAACATATTCAGAGATTTGAGTAGGGGTACCGAGTGATGTCTGGGGCCAGAATTGGATATTGTCCTAATAGCAGCTTTGTGTTGAGTAATTAGAGGACGTAAGTGATTTTGGGTAGTAGAGCCCCAAGCACAAATACCATAGTTGAGATATGGATAGATAAGGGAGTAATAGAGAGTCACCAGGGCAGGGCGTGGTACATAATATCTGATCTTAGAAAGAATGCCCACAGTTTTTGAAACTTTTTTTGATATGTTTAGAATGTGTCCCTGGAAATTCAGCTTGTGGTCAATGAGAATGCCAAGGAATTTCCAATTTGCCAAGAAATATTTCATTCAAATGATCTGCTACCAGAAATCTTAGCCAAATATCCTTGCTAACTGTAGTTTGTAACTAAGTGATTGAAACCTATTCACCTCTGCCACTGGATGGGGGGTGGTGTGCAGGACAAACGTATCAATTGTGACACTAGCTCTCCACATATGTCAGTTGCTTAATTTATAAACTGCACTTGTTGTCGGTCTCAAGCCCATTATTGATGTGACGATGTGCACTGAATTTTGTAACTAGCTCATGAAATTTGTAATTTGCTTAGTTAAATGAATTGTGGGGTTCAGTCCCTGAGTCCATTATGTGCCTCTGTAACTCTTTCCACTACTGCCCACAAGATGGTTACGGGGTGCATAATGAACTAAACTAACCCCTTTTCGAGTCTAAAAGTGTTAAGACATGTAGTGTGTGTGGATGTTTACTAGTGCAGGCCACTGATAATATATCCCTGTAAAATTAATCATCTTGCGTGATGGCGATTTTTAATATTTTTAGTACAACATAACTAGCTCTTGACAAACTGTTACCTCTCATATAGTCCGGCGTAGCAGGGTAAATGTGAATGGACCTAAATTCCTTTTTGATATTCCAAGAGTACAACTTAATCAAACTAGAAATGCTCTACAAATCAAGGGACCCAGAATGTGGAATGACCTTCTCAATCATGTTAAAGACTGTACCTCTCTCAACCAGTTTAAGATAAAAACTAAGCACTACCTAATTAACTCCCTGTAACCTACCTTACCCCTATAATGTCAACCCATGTCTGCTATTTTTAAACAATACTGTTTGTCGACCAAATTGTATTTTTTGCTGTTTTTCTGCCTTGTTCCCCCCTTTTTTATTTTTATATTTTCTCAACACATTTTATACTCTAATCTCAATTAGTATTAAGCTTTAGTGTTTAGTGCTTTTCCTTCCTGAAACGCTTTGCGTAATAATGGCTTTAGGCATTGTATGTACTAGCTCTATCTATAAATTCATCAATATTTGTATCACACCTTGTATGTATGTACTTTACCTGAATGAACATTTGAATTTTTTGAATTTGAAAATGTTAATAACAAATGATGTGCATGTTCTCTTGACAGATTTGCTGTCTAGGGACCCTCCCGACACTTACATGGCATAACCTTTAAAACTCCTCTCTCTTGTAACAAAGGAAAGCCCTCGTGCATAAACAGAAATTTTTCACTTCTCCAATATGATGCCGATTCATGCAGTCACAAAATAAATTTCATCTTATATCACTAAATGTTTATAATTTTATAAACTAATTGAATAGTTCATTAACCAATTACTGTACTGTATTATACTTTTATTAATTAAACTAGAAAACTATATAGACCCCTAACCTAACAAACTTATCTTATCTCGCATCACAGTCTGTCAGTCAGAGAGTATATGCAGCAGCAAAAATGGGACCTGCCACACATCGGTATGTTCAGCTGAGGAAATAGAGATCCTTCAAGGCTGTACAGGCGACGGGTGTAGGTGCTGTGCCCCTAAAGGTCCAGGTCAGTAGCAGTTATATTTACGAAAATTTGTGTATACTTGCGCGGTCTTTTGTGCCCCTCGCATTAGCAGCACCCAAGATATATTGTAATTAATTGCTTACCAACCAGAATATCTCGCAATGTTATAAACTTTATTTTCATAAATATTTATACATAAATTGTTCTGAATCTGCTTTTTCAAGCTAGAAATTGCGAAACCTAACACTGGACTCGTTGTTTAATTACAGTGTGCCAGCCAGAGAGTTCATGTACCACCAAGAAAGGCACCTGCACAACATCGCACTGTTCAACAGGTGAAATTGAAATCCCACAAGGCTGTACAGGCGACGGGTGTAGGTGTTGCGCTCCTAGAGGTCCAGGTCAGTAATAAACAATATATATATACAAACATGGCAGTATCACACGTTGTAATTGGTGATCAACCCACGATGTAATTCAGCCACTTGTCTGGCTTTGTGAGGTAAATATTTTGCATAAGTATTTTCATGCGACTGTGTTTTTAAAATATAAAATATGCAGCCTGACAACAAATCCTTTTTTATAATATTAGTGTGTCAGCTTGAGAGTACATGTACCACCAAGAAAGGCACCTGCAGGACATCGCAGTGTTCAACAGGTGAAATGGAGATCCCACAAGGCTGTACAGGCGACGGGTGTCGGTGCTGTGCCCCTAAAGATCCAGGTCAGTACCCATTATTGTATTTTCTCAATCCGATTTGTATAAAGTTAAAAAATAACATAAAGGTAACTAAATTTTTATTATGAAAGTTATTTTATTGGTGCTCTAAGCGTACCAATTGTTTTGAAGTTACACAAGCTGCATGTTGTTGATTTATAGACAACGATCATAGGCTCCGATGGCTTCCTGATTTCCAAAAATGACCACAAAGCACGTTTGTGTGTGAAAGTTACTGGACGAATATCGGTTCTTAAAGATATAATTGTTTAAATTTGTGTTTTAAGGCAAAATTTAAATAATTTGATTTGTCACAATAACGTGGTTGAAAACAGTTAGGACTTGAAAAGTTTCCAGGGTAGTCTGAAACGTTATTTATATTTTGTGTGTGGGGGTCAAGATATTATTTTGATTCCTTATAAAATTTGCAGAAGTATTTAGTTTTAGCGAGTGATTTTATGTGATTATTATTGTTGTATTTAGGGATATGTATTCACGAATAGGATATATTAGCTAAGTTGTATGCTAGGATACATTACCACCAGTCATCTGTGGTTCCAATTAAAGCTCTCGTGCGTGAACTGTCTTGAATACTCTTCCGTCTGCATGCTGATTTATGCACAAACTTATTACAATCGAGATGTCTAATCATAAATATTTATATAATTCAAGTTTTAATAAAAACTGTCATAGTTTAATTGTACTTTTTTAAATTTGAAAACTCCATTAATATTAACAAACTTAATATTACAGTGTGTCAGCTAGAGAGTACATGTACCAGCAAGAAAGGCACCTGCAGGACATTGCAGTGTTCAGCTAATGAGCTGGAGATACCACAAGGCTGTACAGGTGACGGGTGCTGGTGCTGCGCCCCTAAAAGTATAGGTTAGTAGCGATCAGTAAATGTACACATGCACCCACATTCACTCACCCTCTCGCGTATGTACACACACATACACTGACGCGCATGTAAATAATCTCACATGCATGCACATAACACCAAACTTATAATTAATTGCTTATTACCCCAAAAGTCCTTAATTCAGGCACTTGTCTGGTATCATACTGTCTAGAAAATATTTGAGAATTTAAAATCTGTGTTCATACATATTGATACTGTACAAAAATGATTTTGTAACAGTTCTTTTCAAGCTAAAAATTGCCAAGCATAACAAACACCCACTTATTTTTTTATTTCAGGCTGTCGACCTGAGAGTGTATGTACCACTAAGAAAGGAACCTGCAAATTATCACAGTGTTCAGCTGATGAGCTGGAGATCCCACAAGGTTGTACAGGTGACGGGTGTAGGTGCTGCGCCCCTAAAAGTCCAGGTCAGTAGCAGTTAATACATTTTCAGTGTAGATTCCATAAATAAAAAATAATTGTAAATCAACACAGTTTTTATAAAATATAATGTCTGAATGTCTGTACAAAGATGCAGATGCGACGCATGGGGCCTCGTGAAACTATACCACCAGGATGACACATGGTGGTATAGGACTGTCAGATGCCAATCGGAGTTGGGCCCCATTGCCCTATTCAAGAAGGATTAATTCCTATTTCGAATCCCAGCAACTCTTTCAAAGTTTGAAATTGTTGGGGGGGGGGGGGTTGTATTTAAAATAATTTTATAATGGTTTTTCACATTCATTAAATAGCACGCAGAACGTAACCACAACATTAGCATCAATGTAAACGGAAAGTTGTGTTTGTGGTGCGTGTTTAATGGGATTGCATGTTTAGAGAGGGGATGGTGGAGGAGAGGTAAGGAAAGGTGGGAGGAAGATGGATAGATTTGTGAGAGTGCAGAAGGGGGAATAGAGAAGAGGGGTAATAGGGAAAGACAGGAGACGGGGGATAGGGAAAAAGAAGGGAAGAGGGGAGATGGGCGGGGAAGGGGATAGGGACCTGGGAGACTACTGGGTTACTAATCCAGTAAGAACTAAAAACAAAAACAAAAATGCAAAATGCCTACTGACCCATTCAAGGTATCCCCTATTTATATTCACCCAAACTCATTCATAAATATCTTACATGAGTGTTGTAATAGTGCAGCTACTATCTTGGCAGGTGTTGTCAACCGCAAATTAATAAAAAAAAAAAAATTAAACTGCTAATCCTTTACATTGTGAGTCATGGAAAATAAGAGAATAAACACTTTAAATATTTTACTTTATCAAAACATAACAAATTTATTTAAATTGTATAGAAAATAATAATAAACAATTACAAAACCCTGAACCACTTGGCTTAACACAGATAAAGAAAAAGTATATACAAGTTACGTTGTTAATAATAATGATGAATGATAAATTTTATACAAAATGCTGTAAGCGTCTACTGTCACCCGTCGTATGACCGTCAAGGTGAGGGAAGATACGTGAGCTATTTGAGCACCAGAATGGTTTGTGCTCGACCAAGCTGCTGTTTGTTGTTTTAGATTCAGCCAATCGGAACAAAAGTTCCAAGTAGCACGGGGTATGGTGAGCCCGTAGTGGACTTACCTGGCACAGGAGCAGGGCTGTAACTGTAGCGCGACCCCAAGCCTTGTTGTTGTTTTAGATGGGACAATACGTTTTGGAATGTATCGCTGGTGATTTTTGATATTGAAGGCTAGCATGCTGATACTGAAGATGGTAGGAAGGGGCAGAATCCACTGCTATGCAGGGGATAACCATAACAGTGTATATACAGAATGTTCATTCTTCAGTAAATATTTATTTAATTTAATTAATTTTGTATAGAAAATATTTGAGCTCAATTTTACTTTTAAATTATAAAACTGCACTCACTTTAGTACACCAATCTTATGCCATATTGCAGTGTGTCAGCCAGAGAGTACATGTACCAGCAAGAAAGGCACTTGCAAGACATCGCAGTGTTCAGCTGATGAGCTGGAGATCCCACAAGGCTGTACAGGCGACAGTTGTAGGTGCTGCGCCCCTAAAAGTCCAGGTCAGTGGCAGTAATACATTTTCAGTGTAGCTTCCTTAAATTAAAAATAATCCTAAATCAACACAACTTTATCATTTACGTGTATAAAATATAATGTCTGTGTCCAAAGATGCAGATGTGATGTATGGGGCCTCATGAAACTTTTCAGGATGACACATGGTGCTATAGGACTGTCAGATACCAATCGGAGTTGGGCCCCATTGCCCTCTTCAAAAAAGATTAATTCTTTTTTCGAATGCCAGCAACTCTTTTTTCAGAGTTTGAAATTGTTGGGGAGGGGGGTTATGCTTCAAAGAATTTAGTTTTTTAATTTTCATAAAATAACTCGCATAATGTAACCAGTGTCTTTTCAACTACATCATTACAACATTGTATTAACGTCAAAGGAAAGTTTTCTGGTGTGTGTTTAATGGGATTAAATGTTTAGAGAGGGGATGTTGCAGGAAAGGTGGGAGAAAGACTTGAGAGATTTGTGAGAGTGCAGAAGAAGGGTGGGGGATAAAGAGGGGTGATAGGGGAAGAGAGGAGATGGGGTTAAGGAAAAAGAAGGGAAGAGGCGAGATGGGGAGGGGGGGGGGAGAGGGACCTGGAGACTGCTGGATTACCAATCTAATATGGGGAGGGGGGGAGGGGGGGGAGGGACCTGGGGACTGTTGGATTACCAATCTAATATGGGGAGGGGGGGGGAGAGGGACCTGGGGACTGTTGGATTACCAATCTAATAAGAACTTAAAAACAACAACAAATTGCAAAATACCTATTGACCCATTCGAGGCAGCTCCTATTCACCCAAACTCATTCATAAATATTTTAAGTGAGTTTATATACTGAATGCTCATTTTTCATTAAATATTTATGTAATTTAATTATTTGTATATAGAAAATATTTTAGCTCGATTTTACTTTTAAATTATAAAACTGCACCCACCTTAATACACCAACCTGATGTCATATTACAGTGTGTCAGCCAGAGAGTATATGTACCAGCAAAAAAGGCACCTGCAGGACATCGCAGTGTTCTGCTGACGAGCTGGAGATCCCACAAGGCTGTACAGGCGACGGGTGTAGGTGCTGCACCCCTAAAGGTCCAGGTTAGTAGCAATCGGTAGAGTTATACACACGGGTAAATAGCACAAAAGTTTTACTCTTTACCGTGCCTTATAACTAATTTACCTGATAACTAATTTAAATAATTAGTTATCAGGTATTCTGCTGTTCTTACGCTGGTGCAGAAATTTTTTTAAAATCATGATATGCAATTATGCTCTTTAAAATAACAAATCTGAAACCAAATAACACGCCCTCTTCTCAAAATTGCAGTTTGCAAGCAACAAAGTACATGTATTGCCAAGAAAGGCACCTGCACAACATCACAGTGTTCAGAAGATGAGCTGGAGATCACACAAGGCTGTACAGGTGACGGGTGCAGGTGCTGCGCCCCTAAAAGTATAGGTTAGTAGCGATCAGTAAATGTACACAGACATGTACAATTGTGCATGTACACATGAACCCACATTCACTCACCCTCTCGCGTATGTACACACACATACACTGACGCGCATGTAAATAATCTCACATTTTTATTTATTTATTTATATATAAACACATGCATGCATTTATATATAAACATGCATTTATATATAAACATTTATATATAAACATGCATTTATATATAAACACATGCATGCACATAACACCAAACTTATAATTTATTGCTTATTACCCCAAAAGTCCTTAATTCAAGCACTTGTCTGGCATCATACTGTATAGAAAATGTATGAGATTTTAAAATCTGTATTCATAAATATTGATTCTGTACAAAAATGATTTTGTAACAGTTCTTTTCAAGCTAGAAATTGTCAAGCATAACAAACACCCACTTATTTTTTTATTTCAGGCTGTCGACCTGAGAGTGTATGTACCACTAAGAAAGGAACCTGCAAATTATCACAGTGTTCAGCTGATGAGCTGGAGATCCCACAAGGCTGTACAGGTGACGGGTGTAGGTGCTGCGCCCCTAAAAGTCCAGGTCAGTAGCAGTTAATACATTTTCAGTGTAGATTCCATAAATTAAAAATAATCGTAAATCAACACAGTTTTTATCATCTATATGTATAAAATGTCTGCCTGTCTGTACAAAGATGCAGATGCGATGCATGGGGCCTCGTGAAACTTTTCAGGATGACACATGGTGGTATAGGACTGTCAGATGCCAATTGGAGTTGGGCCCCATTACCCCATTCAAGAAGGATTAATTCCTATTTCGAATCCCAGCAACTCTTTCAAAGTTTGAAATTGTTGGGGGGGGGGTTGTATTTCAAATAATTTTATAATAATAAATATAAATAAATAAATAAATGTTTATTTAGGTAAGGTACATACATACAAGAGATTTTACAAAGTTTGTTGGATTAATAGATAGAGCTAGTACATACAATGCCTAAAGCCACTATTACGCAAAGCGTTTCGGGCAGGAAAAACATTAATTACTAAAGCTTAATACTAATAGGTATAAAGAATAAAATGTGTTGAGAACAAATAAAAATAGAGGTAAAAGAGGGGGGAACATAGCTGAAAAAGCAGCACAAATACAATTACAAATTATTACAGACAATTACATTCAAACAGCGTTGTTTAAAAAAAACCAGACAGGTTGACAACTGAGGGGTAAGGTAGGTTACAGGGAATTTATTAGGTAGTGCTTCATTTTTGTCTTAAACTGGTTGAGAGAGGTACAGTCTTTAACATGGTTGGGAAGGTCATTCCACATTCTGGGTCCCTTGATTTGTAGAGCATTTCTAGTTTGATTAAGTTGTACTCTTGGAATATCAAAACTGTATTTATTTCTGGTGTGGTGCTCATGGGTTCTGTTACAACCTTCATTGAAGCTTTTGAGGTCAGGATTGGCATTACAGTTCAGCGTTTTATATATGTATAATACACATGAGAGAATGTGCAGTGACTTAATATCTAACATATTCAGAGATTTGAGTAAGGGTACCGAGTGATGTCTGGGGCTAGAGTTGGATATTGTCCTAATAGCAGCTTTGTGTTGAGTAATTAGAGGACGTAAATGATTTTGGGTAGTAGAACCCCAAGCACAAATACCATAGTTGAGATATGGATAGATGAGGGAGTAATAGAGAGTCACCAGGGCAGGGCGGGGTACATTGTATCTGATCTTGGAATGAATGCCAATAGTTTTTGAAACTTTTTTTTGATATATTTAGAATGTGTCCCTGGAAAATTCAGCTTGTGATCAATGAGAACGCCAAGGAACTTGCCATCTAATTTGTTACAAATTTGGGTATTGTTTATTTTGAGATTTATTTGATTGGAGGATTTATTGCCAAACAGAATATAGAAAGTTTTGTCAATGTTCAGGGTGAGTTTGTTGGCAGTTAACCAAAGATGGACTTTATTTAGCTCAGTATTTACTGTGGCATTTAGAGCAAGGGGGTCAGGACTGGAGTAAATGAAGGTTGTGTCGTCAGCAAATAGAATTGGTTTGAGGTGTTGGGAGGCATTTGGAAGGTCATTAATGTAGATGAGAAAGAGGAGAGGGCCAAGTATGCTGCCCTGAGGAACACCAATGTTGATGGGTAGGGTGGGAGAAATTGAATTATTCACAAACATACTGGAGCCTGTCAGTAAGGTAAGATTTGAGGTATTGCAGGGAGTGTCCTCTGACTCCATAATGATGTAATTTAAGAAGAAGGTTTTGGTGGTTGACAGTGTCAAAAGCCTTACGCAGGTCCACAAATAACCCAACAGGGAACTCCTTTTTATCAAGAGCTGCGTGAATCAAGTTAATCATACTAATAAGTGCATCGTTAGTGCTTTTTTTTGGGTCTGAAGCCATATTGACAAGAGCTAAGTATATTGTGTTTGGCTAGAAAAGAGTAAAGCTGCTTGTAGATTAGTGTTTCAAATATTTTTGACAAGTTAGGCAGGATTGATATAGGTCTGTAGTTGTTAACATCTGTGAGATCACCACATTTGTGGACAGGGATTAGAGCAAGGGGGTCAGGACTGGAGTAAATGAAGGTTGTGTCGTCAGCAAATAGAATTGGTTTGAGGTGTTGGGAGGCATTTGGAAGGTCATTAATGTAGATGTTCTCTTGCTTTTTTTAGAATGTCTGGAAAGGTTTGGAGTTCAAGTGACTTGTTGAAGAGCAATGCAATAGCAGGGGCTAAAGATCTGGAGGCTTTTTTGTAAATTAAAGTTGGTATCTCCTCAAGGGCACTAGACTTGGTTTTAAGGGAAAGGATTATCTCATTGACATCAGTGGAATTAGTAGGCTTTAGGTACAGAGACTGTGGATAGTTACCTGTAAGATAGTCCTTAACATCAGTACTGGAAGATGGAATATCATTTGCAAGGGATGAACCAATGGAAGAGAAAAACCTATTGAACTCAATAACAGAATCAGAGGCTGAAAGCTGACCAATGTTATTGGACAGAAGTGTTGGTTTGTTATTTAAAATCTTCTTTGATCCCAATATTTGTGAAATTGTGCTCCAAGTTTTTTTAATGTTGCTCTTTATTTGGGTAAATTTATCTTCATAGTATTTAGTTTTGGCTCGTCTAATTATTTTAGATAGCAATAACGAGTAATTCTTTGAGAATTCTTTGGAGACGGTTCCTAACCTATACTTCTTCTCAAGGTCATGTTTTTTATTAATGGATTTAAGTATTCCCTTTGTAAGCCAAGGATTGTTAAGCCTTTTGTTTGTGACTTGTTTTGTAAGCATAGGACAGTGAGTGTTATAAAGGCTAAGAGTTGTTTGAAGAAAAGATTGCACTGCTAGGTTGATGTCCCGTATGTTACCTAACTCGGACTCCCAGTTGACATTATCAGCAGCAGGTATAAAATTGTTTATAGCAGTTTCATTGTGCAGCCTAAAGCTTAACACCCTTGACTCAAGAGGTGGCTTGTTTATGTTAGTTAAGAGAAATGTGGGGTAATGGTCTGTAGTGCTATCGGTGATTATACCTGAAGTAAGCGGAGAGGTTATGTTGGTCCAGATGTGATCTAGAGTTGTAGCAGTACTATCAGTGATTCTAGTAGGTCTAGTGATTAAGGGTATGAGGAAGCAGGAATTCATACAGTTGAGGAACCTAACACCAGTAGGGTGTTCAGGCTTGCAGAGGTCAATATTAAAGTCCCCTGCGATAATTAGATGGTTTTTGTTCAGTCTGTTATCAAGTATTAGATTTCTAAGGTTTGAATTGAATTCGGACACATCAGTGTTAGCAATTCTATAGACTGCACCCACAGACAGGACAGAATCGACACCCTTAACTCTGAAACTGGCGAAGATATACTCCCCACAGCAGTCTCTAGGTCTAATTATTTTTAAGCATGTTAGTTCCTGGTGGTAGTAAAGAGCAGTACCACCACCTCTCTGAATTTGACGACAGTTGTGAATTGCCGAGTAGTTAGGCATGTTAAAGAGTTGAGTAGTATCCTCTTTCAACCACGTTTCAGTAAGTATAATAAAAGAGAATTTGTTGTCAATAGTTTCAATCAAGGCACTATGGTTTTTGGTAATGGTTTTTCACATTCATTAAATAGCACGCAGAACGTAACCACAACATTAGCATCAATGTAAACGGAAAGTTGTGTTTGTGGTGCGTGTTTAATGGGATTGCATGTTTAGAGAGGGGATGGTGGAGGAGAGGTAAGGAAAGGTGGGAGGAAGATGGATAGATTTGTGAGAGTGCAGAAGGGGGAATTGAGAAGAGAGGTAATAGGGAAAGACAGGAGACGGGGGATAGGGAAAAAGAAGGGAAGAGGGGAGATGGGCGGGGAAGGGGATAGGGACCTGGGAGACTACTGGGTTACTAATCCAGTAAGAACTAAAAACAAAAACAAAAATGGTTACTGACCCATTCAAGGTATCCCCTATTTATATTCACCCAAACTCATTCATAAATATCTTACATGAGTGTTGTAATAGTGCAGCTACTATCCTGGCAGGTGTTGTCAAACGCAAATTAATAAAAAAAAAAAATAAACTGCTAATCCTTTACATTGTGAGAATCACGGAAAATAAGAGAATAAACACTTTAAATATTTTACTTTATGAAAAACTTAACAAATTTATTTAAATTGTATAGAAAATATTAATAAACAATGACAAAAACCCTGAACCACTTGGCTTAACACAGATAAAGAAAAAGTATATACAAGTTACGTTGTTAATAATAATGATGAATGATAAATTTTATACAAAATGCTCTAAGCGTCTACTGTCACCCGTCGTATGACCGTCAAGGGGAGGGAAGATACGTGAGCTATTTGAGCACCTGAATGGTTTGTGCTCGACCAAGCTGTTGTTTGTCGTTTTAGATTCAGCCAATCGGAACAAAAGTTCCAAGTAGCACGGGGTATGGTGAGCCCGTAGTGGACTTATCTGGCACAGGAGCAGGGCTGTAACTGTAGCACGACCCCAAGCCTTGTTGTTGTTTTAGATGGGACAATACGTTTTGGAACGTATCGCTGGTGATTCTTGATATTGAAGGCTAGCATGCTGAAACTGAAGATGGTAGGAAGGGGCAGAATCCACTGCTATGCAGGGGATAACCATAACAGTGTATATACAGAATGTTCATTCTTCAGTAAATATTTATATAATTTAATTAATTTTATATAGAAAATATTTGAGCTGTCGGGGTTTCGAGTAAGTAACCGTACTTAATATCCTGGCAAAGGCCGCCAATGTCGGGGTTACTCTAAATCTCCCCAGTCACCACCAAGTACTAGTAGGGGGTAACTGTTACTTACTGTAGCCCTGCGGGTCTTCACTCCATCCTCAAGGTGCCACTGTTCACCTGGAGAATATCCCAGTCTACCTCCTGCCGGCCTCCTCGCCTGAAGGCGAGTGGGAACACGATCACTTCTCTCTAGATCATGTGCCCGCCCTGACAAAGGGCTCTACTTCTAACTAAAAGGTCGCCAACTGGTGTTCTACATGTCCAGTAACACGTCAGTGGTATCGTGGAATTGTGGTAGTAGTGGCAGAGAGCACACTAATTAAAACTGGTAACAGGCAGGTATATATCTCAATCACTCTCTCTTCCAATGGACTCAATAATCTCAATAGCAACAAGTAATGGAGGGATAACACAAATACGAAGGTGATTTTGTATTTTACTTAAAATATTAAAGTATTATAGCACTGGATCAACAAGAAGCCAACGCAGTACATGGCAGCAAATCACTCATCATAAATCAGGAACGCTATACAATGGCAACACTCCCCCTCCACCGTACAGTCCCAACTGTCATGCCCCCTCACTGTATACTTTCTCTGTACTTGTTGTCCTGGCGTTAAGCGCCTATTTCTTCAAATTCACAGTAAACACAATACTGGCAATCAGCACAATAAACTGCTATAATGGCAATAAACGCAATGAATCACTGTACTTGCCTTAAGCAGAGTAAAATTACTTCAATGGCTATAAACACAGTAACTCACTGTAATTTTATTTTTATTTTATTTTATTTATTTTATTTATATATATACAAGAAGGTACATTGGGTTTGTGAGAATACATTGGATAGTACAGTATTTACATTCTTGTAAAGCCACTAGTACGCGCAGCGTTTCGGGCAGGTCCTTAATCTAGCAGATAATTTTAAGTAGGTAATTTCAATCAGAATTGATAAATGAAAGATACATTTCAAGAGAAAAATGAGATGAGAGAGATAAGTAAGTATATTAAAGCACATTGTTATATTAAAGCTCTGATTGATTACATTGACAGCTTGATTAGTAATTTAAACAAGATTAATAGACACCATACAGCAGATTGACAGCACATATAAGACAGCAATGATCACGATGGTAAAGATGTTCAGAATGGGTACATAAAGATTGGGAGATTGGGTAGCAAAAGATACAGATAAACAAGATTTATAAACACCATACAATAGAATGGCAGCACATATAAGAAAACAGCAATGATCTCAATGGTAAAGATGTTCAAATTGGGAACATAAAGGTTGGGAGATTGGGTAGCAATAGATACAGTGCAATTTTAAGGCAAAAAGTGAAACACTATGAAGATGAAATTAGGTACTTTTTAGTATTGATTTTGAATGATGCAAAAGTTGGACAGCTTTTCAATTCAGTAGGGAGTGAGTTCCATAAACTGTGTCCCTTTATTTGCATAGAGTGTTTACACAAATTAAGTTTAACTCTGGGGATATCAAAGAGATATTTATTTCTGGTGTGGTGATAATGGGTCCTATTACATCTGTCCAGGAAGAGTTTCAGACAAGGATTTGCATTTAAGAACAGGGTTTTGTAAATGTAGTTGACACAAGAGAATTTGTGGAGTTAGATTATGTTTAGCATGTTTAGGGAGTTAAACAAGGGAGCTGTGTGTTGTCTGAAAGCAGAATTTGATATTATTCTGATAGCAGATTTTTGCTGGGTGATGATGGACTTGAGGTGGTTTGCAGTGGTTGAACCCCATGCACAGATACCATAGTTGAGATAGGGATAGATTAGTGCATTATATAGAGAGATGAGAGCAGAGTTAGGAACATAATATCTGATTTTGGAGAGTATACCAACTGTTTTAGAGACTTTCTTAGTTATGTGTTGTATGTGGGTACTGAAGTTGAGTCTCTTGTCTAGGAATATGCCAAGAAACTTTCCATCATTTTTATTGCTAATGTTTACATTGTCAATCTGAAGCTGAATTGCATTTGTAGATTTGCTTCCAAATAGGATGTAGTAGGTCTTTTCTATGTTAAGTGTTAGTTTGTTGGTTGACATCCATAGGTGGACTTTTTTTAGTTCATTATTAACAACATCATTTAGTGTATGTGGGTTGGGGTTGGAGTAAATGAGGGTAGTATCATCAGCAAACAAAATAGGTTTCAGAATGTTAGAGACATTAGGCAGATCATTAACGTATATAAGAAATAGTAGGGGTCCCAAGATGCTGCCCTGTGGCACTCCAACAGTTATTGGTAGAATAGGAGAGATTATATTATTGATGGCTACCCATTGGTGTCTATCACTAAGATAGGATTGGATATAGTCCAGTGCATGGCCTCGGATTCCATAATGATGGAGTTTACATAAGAGGTAATCGTGATTAACAGTATCAAAGGCCTTTCTCAGGTCAATGAAGAGTCCAATAGGAAACTCATTTTTGTCAAGGGCAGAGTATATTATATCAAGGAGACTAATGGCATGGCATTAAACACAGTAATGGCATTAATGGCATTACCAGTAATGGCATTAATAATGTAATGGCATTAAACACAGTAGATCACAATAATGGCCCCCAAACACAGTAAATTACTTCAATGGCTATAAACACAGTAAATCACTGTACACATGAATATACTATTCAATACTCCAGCATATATATAGATCACTGCATCAATATTAGCAATAATGAGTCATTACGGGGCACACAGCCTTATACTAATAAATGGTACATTTATATATATATATATATATATATATATATATATATATATATATATTTATTTATTTATTTATTTATTTATTTATTCTCTGACATAAACTTAAAATATTAATGTCACATGAATGTAAATGTCCTCGACACAGCAATCTCTTCGATAAATCACAGGTGCACTCACACACCACATATATATATATTTCGTGAGAGCTCTCTACAGCATCTCTCTGCACAACTGTGCCTTACTATGACATAGACATTAGTGAGCCCTGCTCACGACATAGAAGATACTCTGGCTAAACAGCTGACTAATGGGGAATGGGAGGGAAAACTGAATTACCTACTTCCACCTTAATGATGTGGACTCGCCCTCTGTTGAAAGTTGAATTGAAGCTCCTGGTCCCAGCTCTCGACTCGTTGTAGGGAATGCCCTCACACACACACTGATGCTCTCTCCAGGAACCTCAACACCTCAAAAACGCGTCTTCACCGTGCTCTATCCTCTGCAGGCCCATGCTCCTCCACAACTTCTTGAAGGGTTGGAGTCGGTCTCCTGGCCGTCGACTTCTCCTCACAACTACGTCTGCAGTCATCCTGATTCCAGCTAGTTTCGTTCTTCTCCTGGCTCTCGGTGGATTGGCCCAGCCGCTACGTCGTCACCTAAACTGGTGAAACTACACAGTCGTCCCGGATGTCACTGTTCAGACTTCACTTCTTGCAACACACCTGTCACTGGAGCACTTGCTGCTCAATACTCGTCAATTCCTTCTTCGGTCCAACACATGGAATACAGGAAGACCTCACAGGGTGATTGCAGACTACTGGGTGAACCGTAAATCCACCGGAACAGGGCAAAACTGTCAAACTGACAGGACCCCCGATCGCACGTTCAACATCCTCGACGTGTCGTGTCAAACTCCTGGGCGCCACGGCCCGCGCCGTCCGGACCCCCCTGCTCTTGTGACGTCATACTTGCCAGGGGCATTTCTCATTGGCTCCCTGTACTACGTCACTGTTCTTAACCAATCTGGTGCCACTGACGTCACAACGTCTTGGCGGGAAATCGTAGTGTCCGGCGCCATCTTGGTGTCCTAAAGGGCCTAAACCACAGGCCAAAACACTCTTCTTTCACGAATTTCTCGCCAACGCGAGAACACCTAATGCTCCCACACATGTCAAATTGTTCCCCGGAACGTAGAGAACGTTCGGATAAAGTGGATATGACTTTTACAGCTGGCGTGGAAGAAACATAAGGAGGGGGGGGGGAACACCGTCACAGAGCTCAATTTTACTTTTAAATTATAAAACTGCACCCACCTTAATACACCAATCATATGCCATATTGCAGTGTGTCAGCCAGAGAGTACATGTACCAGCAAGAAAGGCACTTGCAAGATATTGCTGTGTTCAGCTGATGAGCTGGAGATCCCACAAGGCTGTACAGGCGATGGGTGTAGATGCTGCGCCCCTAAAAGTCCAGGTCAGTGGCAGTAATACGTTTTCACTGTAGCTTCCTTAAATTCAAAATAATCCTAAATCAACACAACTTTATCATTTACGTGTATAAAATATAATGTCTGTCTGTCTGTGTCCAAAGATGCAGATGCGACGCATGGGGCCTCGCGAAACTTTTCAGGATGACACATGGTGGTATAGGACTGTCAGATACCAGTCGGAGTTGGGCCCCATTGCCCTCTTCAAACAAGATTAATTCTTTTTTCGAATTCCAGCAACTCTTTTTCAGAGTTTGAAATTGTTGGGGTGGGGGGTTATGCTTCAAAGAATTTAGTTTTTACATTTTCATAAAATAATACGCATAATGTAACCACAATGTCTTTTCAGCTACATTATTACAACATTGCATTAACGTCAAAGGAAAGTTGTTTTTCTGGTGTGTGTTTAATGGGATTAAATGTTTAGAGAGGGCATGTTGCAGGAAAGGTGGGAGAAAGACTTGAGAGATTTGTGAGAGTGCAGAAGAAGGGGGGGGGGATAAAGAGGGGTGATAGGGGAAGAGAGGAGATGGGGTTAAGGAAAAAGAAGGGAAGAGGCGAGATGGGGAGGGGGGGGGAGAGGGACCTGGGGACTGCTGGATTACCAATCTAATAAGAACTTAAAAACAACAAAAAATTGCAAAATACCTATTGACCCATTTGAGGCAGCTCCTATTCACCCAAACTCATTCATAAATATCCTATATGAGTGTATATACTGAATGCTCATTCTTCATTAAATATTTATATAATTTAATTATTTTTATATAGAAAATATTTTAGCTCAATTTTACTTTTAAATTATAAAACTGCACCCACCTTAATACACCAACCTGATGTCATATTACAGTGTGTCAGCCAGAGAGTACATGTACCAGCAAAAAAGGCACCTGCAGGACATCGCAGTGTTCTGCTGACGAGCTGGAGATCCCACAAGGCTGTACAGGCGATGGGTGTAGGTGCTGCGCCCCTAAAGGTCCAGGTTAGTAGCAATCGGTAGAATTATACACACGGGTAAATAGCACAAAAGTTTTACTCTTTACCGTGCCTTATAACTAATTTACCTGATAACTAATTTAAATAATTAGTTATCAGGTATTCTGCTGTTCTTACGCTGGTACAGAATTTTTTTTTAAATCATGATCTGCAATTATGCTCTTTAAAATAACAAATCTGAAACCAAATAACACGCCCTCTTCTCAAAATTGCAGTTTGCAAACAACAAAGTACATGTATTGCCAAGAAAGGCACCTGCACAACATCACAGTGTTCAGAAGTTGAGCTGGAGATCACACAAGGCTGTACAGGTGACGGGTGCAGGTGCTGCGCCCCTAAAAGTATAGGTTAGTAGCGATCAGTAAATGTACACAGACATGTACAATTGTTCATGTACACATGAAGCCACATTCACTCACCCTCTCGCGTATGTACACACACATACACTGTACACTGACGCGCATGTAAATAATCTCACATGCATGCACATAACACCAAACTTATAATTAATTGCTTATTACCCCAAAAGTCCTTAATTCAGGCACTTGTCTGGTATCATACTGTCTAGAAAATATTTGAGAATTTAAAATCTATATTCATAAATATTGATACTGTACAAAAATGATTTTGTAACAGTTCTTTTCAAGCTAGAAATTGTCAAGCATAACAAACACCCACTTATTTTTTTCTTTCAGGCTGTCGACCTGAAAGTGCATGTACCACTAAGAAAGGAACCTGCAAATTATCACAGTGTTCAGCTGATGAGCTGGAGATCCCACAAGGCTGTACAGGTGACGGGTGTAGGTGCTGCGCCCCTAAAAGTCCAGGTCAGTAGCAGTTAATACATTTTCAGTGTAGATTCCATAAATTAAAAATAATCGTAAATCAACAGTTTTTATCATCTAAAAGTATAAAATGTCTGCCTGTTTGTACAAAGATGCAGATGCAATGCATGGGGCCTCCTGAAACTTTTCAGAATGACACATAGTGGTATAGGACTGTCAGATGCCAATTGGAGTTGGGCCCCATTACCCCATTCAAGAAGGATTAATTCCTATTTTGAATCCCAGCAACTCTTTCAAAGTTTGAAATTGTTGGGGGGGGGGGATTGTATTTCAAATAATTTTATAATGGTTTTTTCACATTCATTAAATAGCACGCAGAACGTAACCACAACATTAGCATCAACGTAAACGGAAAGTTGTGTTTGTGGTGCATGTTTAATGGGATTGCATGTTTAGAGAGGGGATGGTGGAGGAGAGGTAAGGAAAGGTGGGAGGAAGATGGATAGATTTGTGAGACTGCAGAAGGGGGAATAGAGAAGAGGGGTAATAGGGAAAGACAGGAGACGGGGGATAGGGAAAAAGAAGGGAAGAGGGGAGATGGGCGGGGGAGGGGATAGGGACCTGGGAGACTACTGGGTTACCAATCCAGTAAGAACTAAAAACAAAAAAAAACAAAAAATGCAAAATGCCTCCTGACCCATTCAAGGTATCCCTTATTTATATTCACCCAAACTCATTCATAAATATCTTACATGAGTGTTGTAATAGTGCAGCTACTATCCTGGCAGGTGTTGTCAAACACAAATTAATAAAAAAAAAATTAAACTGCTAATCCTTTACATTGTGAGAATCACGGAAAATAAGAGAATAAACACTTTAAATATTTTACTTTATCAAAACTTAGCAAATTTATTTAAATTGTATAGAAAATAATGATAAACAATGACAAAACCCTGAACCACTTGGCTTAACACAGATAAAGAAAAAGTATATACAAGTTACGTTGTTAATAATAGTGAATGATAAATTTTATACAAAATGCTCTAAGCGTCTACTGTCACCCGTCGTATGACCGTCAAGGTGAGGGAAGATACGTGAGCTATTTGAGCGCCAGAAGGGTTTGTGCTCAACCAAGCTGCTGTTGTTTTAGATTCAGCCAATCGGAACAAAAGTTCCAAATAGCACGGGGTATGGTGAGCCCGTAGTGGACTTACCTGGCACAGGAGCAGGGCTGTAACTGTAGCGCGACTCCAAGCCTTGTTGTTGTTTTAGATGGGACAATACGTTTTGGAACGTATCGCTGGTGATTCTTGATATTGAAGGCTAGCATGCTGATACTGAAGATGGTAGGAAGGGGCAGAATCCACTGCTATGCAGGGGATAACCATAACAGTGTATATACAGAATGTTCATTCTTCAGTAAATATTTATTTAATTTAATTAATTTTGTATAGAAAATATTTGAGTTTAATTTTACTTTTAAATTATAAAACTGCACTCACTTTAATACACCAATCTTATGCCATATTGCAGTGTGTCAGCCAGAGAGTACATGTACCAGCAAGAAAGGCACTTGCAAGACATCGCAGTGTTCGGCTGATGAGCTGGAGATCCCACAAGGCTGTACAGGCGACGGGTGTAGGTGCTGCGCCCCTAAAAGTCCAGGTCAGTGGCAGTAATACGTTTTCAGTGTAGCTTCCTTAAATTGAAAATAATCCTAAATCAACAGAACTTTATCGTTTACGTGTATAAAATATAATTTTTGTCTGTGTCCAAAGAGGCAGGTGTGATGCATGGGGCAACGTGAAACTTTTCAGGATGACACATGGTGGTATAGGACTGTCAAATACCAATCGGAGTTGGGCCCCATTGCCCTCTTCAAAAAAGATTAATTCTTTTCTCGAATTCCAGCAACTCTGTTTCAGAGTTTGAAATTGTTGGGGAGGGGGGTTATGCTTCAAAGAATTTAGTTTTTACATTTTCATAAAATAACATGCATAATGTAACCACAATGTCTTTTCAACTACATTATTACAACATTGCATTAACGTCAAAGGAAAGTTGTATTTCTGGTGTGTGTTTAATGGGATTAAATGGTAAGAGATGGGGATGTTGCAGGAAAGGTGGGAGAAAGACTTGAGAGATTTGTGAGAGTGCAGAAGAAGGGGGGGGGGGAATAAAGAGGGGTGATAGGGGAAGAGAGGAGATGGGGTTAAGGAAAAAGAAGGGAAGAGGCGAGATGGGGAGGGGGGGGGGAGAGGGACCTGGGGACTGTTGGATTACCAATCTAATATGGGGAGGGAGGGGAGAGGGACCTGGGGACTGTTGGATTACCAATCTAATATGGGGAAGGGGGGGGGGGGAGAGGGACCTGGGGACTGTTGGATTACCAATCTAATATGGGGAAGGGGGGGGGGAGAGGGACCTGGGGACTGTTGGATTACCAATCTAATATGGGGAGGGGAGGGGAGAGGGACCTGGGGACTGTTGGATTACCAATCTAATATGGGGAGGGGGGAGAGAGGGACCTGGGGACTGTTTGATTACCAATTTAATATGGGGAGAGGGGGGGGAGAGGGACCTGGGGACTGTTGGATTACCAATCTAATAAGAACTTAAAAAGAACAACAAATTGCAAAATACCTATTGATCCATTTGAGGCAGCTCCTATTCACCCAAACTCATTCATAAATATCCTATATGAGTGTATATACTGAATGCTCATTCTTCATTAAATATTTATATAATTTAATATTTTTTATATAGAAAATATTTTAGCTCAATTTTACTTTTAAATTATAAAACTGCACCCACCTTAATACACCAACCTGATGTCATATTACAGTGTGTCAGCCAGAGAGTATATGTACCAGCAAAAAAGGCACCTGCAGGACATCGCAGTGTTCTGCTGACGAGCTGGAGATCCCACAAGGCTGTACAGGCGACGGGTGTAGGTGCTGCGCCCCTAAAGGTCCAGGTTAGTAGCAATCGGTAGAGTTATACACATGGGTAAATAGCACAAAAGTTTTACTCTTTACTGTGCCTAATAACTAATTTACCTGATAACTAATTTAAATAATTAGTTATCAGGTATTCTGCTGTACTTACGCTGGTGCAGAATTTGTTTTAAAATCATGATCTGCAATTATGCTCTTTAAAATAACAAATCTGAAACCAAATAACACGCCCTCCTCTCAAAATTGCAGTTTGCAAGCAACAAAGTACATGTATTGCCAAGAAAGGCACCTGCACAACATCACAGTGTTCAGAAGTTGAGCTGGAGATCACACAAGGCTGTACAGGTGATGGGTGCAGGTGCTGCGCCCCTAAAAGTATAGGTTAGTAGCGATCAGTAAATGTACACAGACATGTACAATTGTGCATGTACACATGAACCCACATTCACTCACCCTCTCGCGTATGTACACACACATACACTGACGCGCATGTAAATAATCTCACATGCATGCACATAACACCAAACTTATAATTAATTGCTTATTACCCCAAAAGTTCTTAATTCAGGCACTTGTCTGGTATCATACTGTCTAGAAAATATTTGAGAATTTAAAATCTGTATTCATAAATATTGATACTGTACAAAAATGATTTTGTAACAGTTCTTTTCAAGCTAGAAATTGTCAAGCATAACAAACACCCACTTATTTTTTTCTTTCAGGCTGTCGACCTGAAAGTGTATGTACCACTAAGAAAGGAACCTGCAAATTATCACAGTGTTCAGCTGATGAGCTGGAGATACCACAAGGCTGTACAGGTGATGGGTGTAGGTGCTGCGCCCCTAAAAGTCCAGGTCAGTAGCAGTTAATACATTTTCAGTGTAGATTCCATAAATTAAAAATAATCGTAAATCAACACAGTTTTTATCATCTAAATGTATAAAATGTCTGCCTGTCTGTACAAAGATGCAGATGCGATGCATGGGGCCTCGTGAAACTTTTCAGGATGACACATGGTGGTATAGAACTGTCAGATGCCAATCGGAGTTGGGCCCCATTACCCCATTCAAGAAGGATTAATTCCTATTTTTAATCCCAGCAACTCTTTCAAAGTTTGAAGTTGTTGGGGGGGGAAGGGGGATTGTATTTCAAATAATTTTATAATGTTTTTTTCACATTCATTAAATAGCACGCAGAACGTAACCACAACATTAGCATCAACGTAAACGGAAAGTTGTGTTTGTGGTGCGTGTTTAATGGGATTGCATGTTTAGAGAGGGGATGGTGGAGGAGAGGTAAGGAAAGGTGGGAGGAAGATGGATAGATTTGTGAGACTGCAGAAGGGGGAATAGAGAAGAGGGGTAATAGGGAAAGACAGGAGACGGGGGATAGGGAAAAAGAAGGGAGATGGGCGGGGGAGGGGATAGGGACCTGGGAGACTACTGGGTTACCAATCCAGTAAGAACTAAGAACAAAAAAAAAAAAATAAAAAATGCCTACTGACCCATTCAAGGTATCCCCTATTTATATTCTCCCAAACTCATTCATAAATATCTTACATGAGTGTTGTAATAGTGCAGCTACTATCCTGGCAGGTGTTGTCAAATGCAAATTAATAAAAAAAAAAAAAAATTTAACTGCTAATCCTTTACATTGTGAGAATCATGGAAAATAAGAGAATAAACACTTTAAATATTTTACTTTATCAAAACTTAACAAATTTATTTAAATTGTATAGAAAATATTAATAAACAATGACAACCCTGAACCACTTGGCTTAACACAGATAAAGAAAAAGTATATACAAGTTATGTTGTTAATAATAATGATGAATGATAAATTTTATACAAAATGCTCTAAGCGTCGACTGTCATCCGTCGTATGACCGTCAAGGTGAGGGAAGATACGTGAGCTATTTGAGCGCCAGAATGGTTTGTGCTCAACCAAGTTATTTGTTGTTTTAAATTCAGCCAATCGGAACAAAAGTTCCAAGGAGCACGGGGTATGGTGAGCCCGTAGTGGACTTACCTGGCACAGGAGCAGGGCTGTAACTGTAGTGCGACCCCAAGCCTTGTTGTTGTTTTAGATGGGACAATACGTTTTGGAATGTATCGCTGGTGATTCTTGATATTGAAGGCTAGCATGCTGATACTGAAGATGGTAGGAAGGGGCAGAATCCACTGCTATGCAGGGGATAACCATAACAGTGTATATACAGAATGTTCATTCTTCAGTAAATATTTATATACTGTAATTTAATTTTATATAGAAAATATTTGAGCTGTCGGGGTTTCGAGTAAGTAAGTTAATATCCTGGCAAGGCCGCCAATGTCGGGGTTACTCTAAATCTCCCCAGTCACCACCAAGTACTAGTAGGGGGTAACTGTTACTTACTGTAGCCCTGTGGGTCTTCAATTCATCCTGAAGGTGCCACTGTTCACCTGGAGAGTATCCCAGTCTACCTCCGGCCGGCCTCCTTGCCTGAAGGCGAGTGGGAACACGATCACTTCTCTTTAGATCATGTGCCCGCCCTGACAAAGGGCTCTACTGCTAACTAAAAGGTCGCCAACTGGTGTTTTCCATGTCCAGTAACACGTCAGTGGTATCGTGGAATTGTGGTGGTAGTGGCAGAGAGCACACTAATTAAAACTGGTAACAGGCAGGTATATATCTCAATCACTCTCTCTTCCAATGGACTCAATAATCTCAATAGCAACAAGTAATGGAGGGATAACACAAATACGAAGGTGGTTTTGTATTTTACTTAAAATATTAAAGTATTATAGCACTGAATCAACAAGAAGCCAATGAAGTACATGGCAGCAAATCACTCATCATAAATCAGGAACGCTATACGATGGCAACACTACCCCTCCACCGTACAGTCCCAGCTTACGCCCCCCTCACTGTATACTCTCTCTGTACTTGTTGTCCTGGCGTTAAGCACCTATTTCTTCAAATTCACAGTAAACACAATACTGGCAATCAGCACAATAAACTGCTATATATATATATTTTTTTTTTTTTTTTTTTTTTTTTTTTTTTATAGATATATACAAGAGTTGTTACATTCTTGTACAACCACTAGTACGGGTAGCGTTTCGAGCAGGTCCCTGGAATACGATCCCTTGGCGCGAAGAATCGTTTTTTCATCCAAGTACACATTTTACTGTTGCGTTAAACAGAGGCTACAGTTAAGATATTGCGCCCAGTAAATCCTCCCCGGCCAGGATACGAACCCATGACATAGCGCTCGCGGAACGCCAGGCGAGTGTCTTACCACTACACTACGGAGACTGTGGCAATAAATGGCAATAAACGCAATGAATCACTGTACTGGCCTTAAGCACAGTAAAATTACTTCAATGGCTATAAACACAGTAACTCACTGTAATGGCATTAAACACAGTAGATCACAATAATGGGCCCCAAACACAGTAAATTACTTCAATGGCCATAAACACAGTAAATCACTGTACACATGAATATGCTATTCAATACTCCAGCATATATATAGATCACTGCATCAATATTAGCAATAATGAGTCAATACGGGGCACACAGCCTTATACTAATAAATGGTACATTTATATATATATATATATATATATATATATATATATATATATATATATATATATATATATATATATATATATATATATATATATATATATATATATATGCGAACAAGCCAGAATGGTCCCCTGGACAATATGCAACTGAAAACTCACACCCCAGAAGTGACTCGAACCCATACTCCCAGAAGCAACGCAACTGGTATGTACAAGACGCCTTAATCCACTTGACCATCACGACCGGACAAAATGAGGTGATAGCCGAGGCTATTTGAACCACCCCACTGCCGGCACTCGGATAGTTATCTTGGGCATAGCATTTTACCAAATCACCTCATTCTTAGGGGCACACGTGAGGAACACAAATGCGAACAAGCCAGAATGGTCCCCTGGACAATATGCAACTGAAAACTCACACCCCAGAAGTGACTCGAACCCATACTCCCAGAAGCAACGCAACTGGTATGTACAAGACGCCTTAATCCACTTGACCATCACGACCGGACAAAATGAGGTGATAGCCGAGGCTATTTGAACCACCCCACCGCCGGCACTCGGATAGTTATCTTGGGCATAGCATTTTACCAAATCACCTCATTCTTAGGGGCACACGTGAGGAACACAAATGCGAACAAGCCAGAATGGTCCCCTGGACAATATTTGTCCGGTCGTGATGGTCAAGTGGATTAAGGCGTCTTGTACATACCAGTTGCGTTGCTTCTGGGAGTATGGGTTCGAGTCACTTCTGGGGTGTGAGTTTTCAGTTGCATATTGTCCAGGGGACCATTCTGGCTTGTTCGCATTTGTGTTCCTCACGTGTGCCCCTAAGAATGAGGTGATTTGGTAAAATGCTATGCCCAAGATAACTATCCGAGTGCCGGCGGTGGGGTGGTTCAAATAGCCTCGGCTATCACCTCATTTTGTCCGGTCGTGATGGTCAAGTGGATTAAGGCGTCTTGTACATACCAGTTGCGTTGCTTCTGGGAGTATGGGTTCGAGTCACTTCTGGGGTGTGAGTTTTCAGTTGCATATTGTCCAGGGGACCATTCTGGCTTGTTCGCATTTGTGTTCCTCACGTGTGCCCCTAAGAATGAGGTGATTTGGTAAAATGCTATGCCCAAGATAACTATCTGAGTGCCGGCGGTGGGGTGGTTCAAATAGCCTCGGCTATCACCTCATTTTGTCCGGTCGTGATGGTCAAGTGGATTAAGGCGTCTTGTACATACCAGTTGCGTTGCTTCTGGGAGTATGGGTTCGAGTCACTTCTGGGGTGTGAGTTTTCAGTTGCATATTGTCCAGGGGACCATTCTGGCTTGTTCGCATTTGTGTTCCTCACGTGTGCCCCTAAGAATGAGGTGATTTGGTAAAATGCTATGCCCAAGATAACTATCCGAGTGCCGGCGGTGGGGTGGTTCAAATAGCCTCGGCTATCACCTCATTTTGTCCGGTCGTGATGGTCAAGTGGATTAAGGCGTCTTGTACATACCAGTTGCGTTGCTTCTGGGAGTATGGGTTCGAGTCACTTCTGGGGTGTGAGTTTTCAGTTGCATATTGTCCAGGGGACCATTCTGGCTTGTTCGCATTTGTGTTCCTCACGTGTGCCCCTAAGAATGAGGTGATTTGGTAAAATGCTATGCCCAAGATAACTATCCGAGTGCCGGCGGTGGGGTGGTTCAAATAGCCTCGGCTATCACCTCATTTTGTCCGGTCGTGATGGTCAAGTGGATTAAGGCGTCTTGTACATACCAGTTGCGTTGCTTCTGGGAGTATGGGTTCGAGTCACTTCTGGGGTGTGAGTTTTCAGTTGCATATTGTCCAGGGGACCATTCTGGCTTGTTCGCATTTGTGTTCCTCACGTGTGCCCCTAAGAATGAGGTGATTTGGTAAAATGCTATGCCCAAGATAACTATCCGAGTGCCGGCGGTGGGGTGGTTCAAATAGCCTCGGCTATCACCTCATTTTGTCCGGTCGTGATGGTCAAGTGGATTAAGGCGTCTTGTACATACCAGTTGCGTTGCTTCTGGGAGTATGGGTTCGAGTCACTTCTGGGGTGTGAGTTTTCAGTTGCATATTGTCCAGGGGACCATTCTGGCTTGTTCGCATTTGTGTTCCTCACGTGTGCCCCTAAGAATGAGGTGATTTGGTAAAATGCTATGCCCAAGATAACTATCCGAGTGCCGGCGGTGGGGTGGTTCAAATAGCCTCGGCTATCACCTCATTTTGTCCGGTCGTGATGGTCAAGTGGATTAAGGCGTCTTGTACATACCAGTTGCGTTGCTTCTGGGAGTATGGGTTCGAGTCACTTCTGGGGTGTGAGTTTTCAGTTGCATATTGTCCAGGGGACCATTCTGGCTTGTTCGCATTTGTGTTCCTCACGTGTGCCCCTAAGAATGAGGTGATTTGGTAAAATGCTATGCCCAAGATAACTATCCGAGTGCCGGCGGTGGGGTGGTTCAAATAGCCTCGGCTATCACCTCATTTTGTCCGGTCGTGATGGTCAAGTGGATTAAGGCGTCTTGTACATACCAGTTGCGTTGCTTCTGGGAGTATGGGTTCGAGTCACTTCTGGGGTGTGAGTTTTCAGTTGCATATTGTCCAGGGGACCATTCTGGCTTGTTCGCATTTGTGTTCCTCACGTGTGCCCCTAAGAATGAGGTGATTTGGTAAAATGCTATGCCCAAGATAACTATCCGAGTGCCGGCGGTGGGGTGGTTCAAATAGCCTCGGCTATCACCTCATTTTGTCCGGTCGTGATGGTCAAGTGGATTAAGGCGTCTTGTACATACCAGTTGCGTTGCTTCTGGGAGTATGGGTTCGAGTCACTTCTGGGGTGTGAGTTTTCAGTTGCATATTGTCCAGGGGACCATTCTGGCTTGTTTGCATTTGTGTTCCTCACGTGTGCCCCTAAGAATGAGGTGATTTGGTAAAATGCTATGCCCAAGATAACTATCCGAGTGCCGGCGGTGGGGTGGTTCAAATAGCCTCGGCTATCACCTCATTTTGTCCGGTCGTGATGGTCAAGTGGATTAAGGCGTCTTGTACATACCAGTTGCGTTGCTTCTGGGAGTATGGGTTCGAGTCACTTCTGGGGTGTGAGTTTTCAGTTGCATATTGTCCAGGGGACCATTCTGGCTTGTTCGCATTTGTGTTCCTCACGTGTGCCCCTAAGAATGAGGTGATTTGGTAAAATGCTATGCCCAAGATAACTATCCGAGTGCCGGCGGTGGGGTGGTTCAAATAGCCTCGGCTATCACCTCATTTTGTCCGGTCGTGATGGTCAAGTGGATTAAGGCGTCTTGTACATACCAGTTGCGTTGCTTCTGGGAGTATGGGTTCGAGTCACTTCTGGGGTGAGAGTTTTCAGTTGCATATTGTCCAGGGGACCATTCTGGCTTGTTCGCATTTGTGTTCCTCACGTGTGCCCCTAAGAATGAGGTGATTTGGTAAAATGCTATGCCCAAGATAACTATCCGAGTGCCGGCGGTGGGGTGGTTCAAATAGCCTCGGCTATCACCTCATTTTGTCCGGTCGTGATGGTCAAGTGGATTAAGGCGTCTTGTACATACCAGTTGCGTTGCTTCTGGGAGTATGGGTTCGAGTCACTTCTGGGGTGTGAGTTTTCAGTTGCATATTGTCCAGGGGACCATTCTGGCTTGTTCGCATTTGTGTTCCTCACGTGTGCCCCTAAGAATGAGGTGATTTGGTAAAATGCTATGCCCAAGATAACTATCAGAGTGCCGGCGGTGGGGTGGTTCAAATTGCCTCGGCTATCACCTCATTTTGTCCGGTCGTGATGGTCAAGTGGATTAAGGCGTCTTGTACATACCAGTTGCGTTGCTTCTGGGAGTATGGGTTCGAGTCACTTCTGGGGTGTGAGTTTTCAGTTGCATATTGTCCAGGGGACCATTCTGGCTTGTTCGCATTTGTGTTCCTCACGTGTGCCCCTAAGAATGAGGTGATTTGGTAAAATGCTATGCCCAAGATAACTATCCGAGTGCCGGCGGTGGGGTGGTTCAAATAGCCTCGGCTATCACCTCATTTTGTCCGGTCGTGATGGTCAAGTGGATTAAGGCGTCTTGTACATACCAGTTGCGTTGCTTCTGGGAGTATGGGTTCGAGTCACTTCTGGGGTGTGAGTTTTCAGTTATATATATATATATATATATATATATATATATATATATATATATATATATATATATATATATTCTCTGACATAAACTTATAATATTAATGTCACATGAATGTAAATGTCCTCGACACAGCAATCTCTTTGATAAATCACAGGTGCACTCACACACCACATATATATATTTCGTGAGAGCTCTCTACAGCATCTCTCTGCACAACTGTGCCTTGCTATGACATAGACATTGGTGAGCCCTGCTCACGACATAGAAGATACTCTGGCTAAACAGCTGACTAAAGGGGAATGGGAGGGAAAACTGAATTGCCTATTTCCACCTCAATGATGTGGACTCACTCTGTTGAGAGTTGAATTGAAGCTCCTGGTCCCGGCTCTCGACTCGTTGTAGGGAACGCCCCCACACACACACTGATGCTCTCTCCAGGAACCTCTTCAACACCTCAAAAACGCGTCTTCACCGTGCTCTATCCTCTGCAGGCCCGTGCTCCTCCACAACTTCTTGAAGGGTTGGAGTCGGTCTCCTGGCCGTCAACTTCTCCTCACAACTACGTCTGCAGTCGTCCTGATTCCCAGCTAGTTTCGTTCTTCTCCTGGCTCTCGGTGGATTGGCCCAGCCGCTACGTCGTCACCTAAACTGGTGAAACTGCAGTCGTCCCGGACGTCACTGTTCAGACTTCACTTCTTGCAACACACCTGTCACTGGAGCACTTGCTGCTCAATACTCGTCAATTCCTTCTTCGGTCCAACACGTGGAATACAGGAAGACCTCACAGGGTGAGTGCAGACTACTAGGTGACGTGTAAATCCACCGGAACGGGGCAAAACTGTCAAACTGACAGGACCCCCGAACGCACGTCTGACCACCTCGAAGTGTCGTGTCAAATTCCTGGGCGCCACGGCCCGCACCATCCGGACCCTCCTGCTCTCGTGACGTCATACTTGCCAGGGGCGTTTTTCATTGGCTCCCTGTACTACGTCACTGTTCTTAACCAATCTGGTGCCACTGACGTCACAATGTCTTGGCGGGAAATCGTAGTGTCCAGCGCCATCTTGGCGTCCTAAAGGGCCTAAACCACAGGCCAAAACACACTTCTTTCGCGAATGTCTCGCCAACGTGAGAACACCTAATGCTTCCACATATGTCAAATTGTTCCCCGGAATGTAGAGAACGTTCGGGTAAAGTGGATATGATTCTTACAGCTGGCGTGGGAGAAACATAAGGGGGGGAACACCGTCACAGAGCTCAATTTTACTTTTAAATTATAAAACTGCACCCACCTTAATACACCAATCATATGCCATATTGCAGTGTGTCAGCCAGAGAGTACATGTACCAGCAAGAAAGGCACTTGCAAGACATTGCAGTGTTCAGCTGATGAGCTGGAGATCCCACAAGGCTGTACAGGCGACGGGTGTAGGTGCTGCGCCCCTAAAAGTCCAGGTCAGTGGCAGTAATACGTTTTCAGTGTAGCTTCTTTAAATTAAAAATAATCCTAAATCAACACAACTTTATCATTTACGTGTATAAAGTATAATGTCTGTCTGTGTCCAAAGATGCAGATGCGACGCATGGGGCCTCGCGAAACTTTTCAGGATGACAACATGGTGGTATAGGACTGTCAGATACCAATCGGAGTTGGGCCCCATTGCCCTCTTCAAAAAAGATTAATTCTTTTTTCGAATTCCAGCAACTCTTTTTCAGAGTTTGAAATTGTTGGGGAGGGGGGTTATGCTTCAAAGAATTTAGTTTTTACATTTTCATAAAATAACATGCATAATGTAACCACAATGTCTTTTCAACTACATTATTACAACATTGCATTAACGTCAAAGGAAAGTTGTATTTCTGGTGTGTGTTTAATGGGATTAAATGTTTAGAGAGGGGATGTTGCAGGAAAGGTGGGAGAAAGACTTGAGAGATTTGTGAGAGTGCAGAAGAAGGGGGGGGGGAATAAAGAGGGGTGATAGGGGAAGAGAGGAGATGGGGTTAAGGAAAAAGAAGGGAAGAGGTGGGATGGGGAGGGGGGGGGGAAGAGGGACCTGGGGACTGTTGGATTACCAATCTAATAAGAACTTAAAACAACAACAAATTGCAAAATACCTATTGACCCATTTGAGGCAGCTCCTATTCACCCAAACTCATTCATAAATATCCTATATGAGTGTATATACTGAATGCTCATTCATTAAATATTTATATAATTTAATTATTTTTATATAGAAAATATTTTAGCTCAATTTTACTTTTAAATTATAAAACTGCACCCACCTTAATACACCAACCTGATGTCATATTACAGTGTGTCAGCCAGAGAGTATATGTACCAGCAAAAAAGGCACCTGCAGGACATTGCAGTGTTCTGCTGACGAGCTGGAGATAACACAAGGCTGTACAGGCGACGGGTGTAGGTGCTGCGCCCCTAAAGGTCCAGGTTAGTAGCAATCGGTAGAGTTATACACACGGGTAAATAGCACAAAAGTTTTACTCTTTACCGTGCCTTATAACTAATTTACCTGATAACTAATTTAAATAATTAGTTATCAGGTATTCTGCTGTTCTTACACTGGTACAGAAATTTTTTAAAAATCATGATCTGCAATTATGCTCTTTAAAATAACAAATCTGAAACCAAATAACACGCCCTCTTCTCAAAATTGCAGTTTGCAAACAACAAAGTACATGTATTGCCAAGAAAGGCACCTGCACAACATCATGGTGTTCAGAAGATGAGCTGGAGATCACACAAGGCTGTACAGGCGACGGTTGCAGGTGCTGCGCCCCTAAAGGTCCAGGTCAGTAGTAGTTAATATATTTTAGCAAAGGAGATTCGTTCAGTTTCAAATAATCACAAACCAACACAACTTTTATCATAAGAAAATATTAATGGAAATTGCAGGAAACTCATTGATCTATACGAGGTAGCTCCTATTTTTATCCAACCAAATTAATTCATAATTGTTTTTACAAGCAAGTGCATATACTATGTCAATTCATTCATAAATATTTATAGATTTCATTGTTTTATATAGAAAATGTTTTTGTGCAATTTTACCTTTTTAAATTAGAAAACTGCACCTACCCTAATTCACCTCCCTTGCGTCATATTGCAGCATGTCAACAACAAATTTTATGTACCAACAAGAAAGGCACCTGCACAACATTACAGTGTTCAGCTGATGAGCAGGAGATCCCACAAAGTTGTACAGGTGACGGGTGCAGGTGCTGCGCCCCTAAAGGTTCAGGTGAGTACCAGTTATTATATTTTAGCAATGCAGAGTTGTTGAGTTTCAAAAAATCGTATACCAACACTAATTTTAGTATAAGAACATAAGTTTAATGGAAACTGCTTGGTCCATATGAGGCAGCTCCTATTTATAACCACCCAAAGTTATTCATATATACAGTATATTATTTTTTCTGGGCAAGTGCATATACTGTATGTCCATTCATCAATAAATATTTATATAATTTAATCGTTTTATATAGTAAAATATTTTGACGCAATTGTATTTTTTAAATTAGAACACTGAACTCGCCCTAATTCACATGCCTAATGTCTTATTACAGTCTGTCAACAACAAAAATTATGTACCACCAAGAAAGGTATTTGCAAAACATCGCAGTGTTCAGCTGATGAGCTAGAGATCCCACACGGCTGTACAGGTGATGGGTGTAGGTGCTGCGCCCCTAAAGGTCCAGGTGAGTAGCTATCAATAAACGTTCACATCTACAGTAGTACATGCACACATACCCTTGTAACGGGGGGTGGGGGAAATAGCTCTATCTTGTCCATTATTCCACCCCCTAGTTAACTAACGAGGCTGGGGGAAACAGCTCTCTCTAGTCCGTTATCCCATCCCCAGTTAGCTAACTATTCTAGAGCACCCTCCAGAGTTCCTAAGGCAACCTCTCTCGTTCAACACCTTGTAACCTACGTATTTGACTACCTAGGTGCTAAGACTACAAGGCGCCGTAACTGGATCAGTTACCCGAAACTCTAGAGAGAACTCTAGAATACATTTCACTGCCACAAACGTATAAGAGAAAACGAAAGGAAAGAAATGAATAGTGAAGTAATTAGTGAGGGTTTGGGGTGAGAGGTAGGGAGGTGGGAAGAGCGAGGAGGGTCATTAGTTGAAAGTGAGAGTTTAGAGAGGGGTGGAGGGAGAGGTGTAGATAGGTAGAAGTAGAAGAGTAGATACTAGAAGTAGAAGAGTAGATAGTAGAAGACGAAATGCTGCCACCATCCATTCATGATCATTACATACAAGACAAGGAATGGAACTTGTCTATCCCAAAATTCTCAAAAGATGTTATCAAGGGGTCATTATTAGTATGTCCCATCTTTATCATGTACTCGTTCTAAACCATGAAACCAGTAACCACAGAGGCTTTCTCACCTCAACTCAAAATCTCTAGGGAACAAAATAAAGTCTATTTAAATAATAAATTCAACAATTATATTTTTCATGATAAGTATCATAATTTAAGCAATCCAATTAAGATGTTAAAGATTAATATTCAAAGTGAGTCATCCTCCAAGAATTTGAGAACACTACAACTGACTGCCCCTGATCATCACACATGTAAACACGACCAAGTCACCTTAATGTTCAACTCACCAAGTGCCTGCCTATAGCTGGATAGAGAGGGGGGGGGGGGGGAGTCTGCAGCAGTCAGGCAGCTTCACCCCCGTCCGACCGACAGCCTGTCTCGGCTGTTGTCGTCCTGCTCTTTTGCCTGGTCTTCTGTCTTGTTAATCCTCTCGAATCGATAGCTCTCCGAGTATATATTGGGAACCTAGTAACTAACTCCGCCCACAAGTAGATAGCCTCCGGCACTCTACCAAGCCACTCCTTAAACGTCGGCATGTTTGAAGGCTACCAGGCTCCAATTACAGTGGTACCTCGGAATGCGAGTGTCCCTGTATGCGAGTTTTTCGGAAGACGAGCAGGATTTACTCCAAAAATATGTCTCGGAAGGCGAGGGTTACCTCGGGACGCAAGTTTGTTGATACGTGTACAGGCCGACTGGCGCGTGGTGGCATGGCGATCGCGCCTCAGTTTACCAGTGTCTCGTGTCCAGTGACTATCCCACCTGAATTCTTCACAAGGATTTACAGTTTATCGTTTTTTTGGCCATTTGAGCATAAAAGTTGTCATTATATATCTTGCCATGGGTCTCAAGAAAGCCATTGGTAAGGTTCAACCTAAGAAAATAGCTGTGAGTAGAGGCAGTAGAGGATGTCCCTTCTTGATTAAGAAAATGTGTGAAGTATGGGAAGAACTGCAAAGTTTTGTTGAAAAAACTCACCCAGATAAAGCTGTAGCAGGCCGTTGCATTGACCTTTTAAATGATAATGTGATGTCTTACTACAGACAAGTGTTAAAATGTAGGGAAAAACAAGTGTCATTAGACAAATTCTTAGTGAAACAAGCAAGTCCTAGTGGTATGCAGGCAAAATGTGGCAGTGTGTGCATACCAGTGAAGTCCTCACTGCCTGACGTGATAATGGAAGGGGACTCCCCTTCCAAACAGTAACTCCTCTCTTCCTCCCACCTCCTCACCATCTTCCATACGCCTACAGCATTCAACAGCAAGGTAAGTAATAACTTGAACATAGTTTTGTAGGTTTATTTAGATGAATTAGGTATAAAAATTTAGTTTGATGTGGGGTTTTAGGGGTAGTCAGGAACGGATTAATTCATTTCCCTTTATTTCTTATGGGGAAATTAGCTTCGGAATGCGAGTTTTCGGAATACGAGGCGTCTCCAGGAACCAATTAAACTCTTAAACTGAGGTATGCCTGTATAAGATTATTAGAAGTAAGGTGAAATTCGCATGATCTGACCTCAGGTCACTTGGGGTCATTAACTCTTAGAGGTGTGAAACTCAGGCTGACCAAGCTGGCGCCTTCCCAAATTCCTGTCTGTGACTCATGTACTATATATATTTTAAATAAACTAAACCAAACACTTTTACAGTGTTACACCCTGACTGGCATGGATACACTCATGCACATGTACCTTAACACCCACATGCACATATATGCACCAACATGTGCACACACATGTTGTGAGTATAATTAGTGAGTATAATTGGACAGACTTGATGCTAGGCAAGGAAGTGAATGAGATGTATGGCAAGTTTTGTGAAATATATGATAAAGGCACAAAAAAATTTATACCAAAACAGAGATGCAGAACTAGGAAACAGGATTGGTTCAATAGAAATTGCGAGAGGGCTAGAGACCGAAAGACACAAAAATGGAATCAATACAGGAAGAGGCCGAACCCCCAAACATACCAGCGATACAAAGATGCGAGAAACAACTACACAGCACTGAGGAGAGAGGCAGAAAGAAATTTTGAAAAAGGGATTGTGGACAAATGTAAAACAGAACCAGGTCTATTCTATAAATTCATAAACAACAAATTGCAGGTAAAGGATAATATTCAGAGGTTGAAAATGGGAAATAGATTCACGGAAGATGAAAAGGAAATGTGTGAAACACTAAACGAAAAGTTCCAAAGTGTGTTTGTACAAAATGAAATCTTTAGGGAACCAGATACAATAAGAATTCCAGAGAACAACATAGAACACATAGAGGTGTCTAGAGACGAAGTGGAAAAAATGCTCAAGGAGCTCGGTAAGAACAAAGCAGCTGGCCCAGATGGTGTTTCACCATGGGTTCTGAGAGAATGTGCATCTGAGCTCAGCATTCCACTTCACCTGATCTTTCAGGCATCCCTGTGTACAGGAATCGTAGCAGACGGGTGGAAACAGGCTAACATAGTTCCAATCTACAAAAGTGGCAGCAGGGAAGACCCCCTCAATTATAGACCTGTATCATTGACAAGTGTAATAGTGAAAGTATTGGAAAAACTAATCAAAACTAAATGGGTAGAACACCTAGAGAGAAATGATATAATATCAGACAGACAGTATGGTTTTCGATCTGGAAGATCCTGTGTATCGAATTTACTCAGTTTCTATGATCGAGCCACAGAGATATTACAGGAAAGAGATGGTTGGGTTGACTGCATCTATCTGGACCTAAAAAAGGCTTTCGACAGAGTTCCACATAAGAGGTTGTTCTGGAAACTGGAAAATATTGGAGGGGTGACAGGTAAGCTTCTATCATGGATGAAAAATTTTCTGACTGATAGAAAAATGAGGGCAGTAATCAGAGACAATGTATCGGAATGGAGAAATGTCACAAGTGGAGTACCACAGGGTTCAGTTCTTGCACCAGTGATGTTTATTGTGTACATAAATGATCTACCAGTTGGTATACAGAATTATATGAACATGTTTGCTGATGATGCTAAGATAATAGGAAGGATAAGAAATTTAGATGACTGTCATGCCCTTCAAGAAGACCTGGACAAAATAAGTATATGGAGCACCACTTGGCAAATGGAATTTAATGTTAATAAATGTCATGTTATGGAATGTGGAATAGGAGAACATAGACCCCACACAACCTATATATTATGTGAGAAATCTTTAAAGAATTCTGATAAAGAAAGAGATCTAGGAGTGGTTCTAGATAGAAAACTATCACCTGAGGACCACATAAAGAATATTGTGCAAGGAGCCTATGCTATGCTTTCTAACTTCAGAATTGCATTTAAATACATGGATGGCGATATACTAAAGAAATTGTTCATGACTTTTGTTAGGCCAAAGCTAGAATATGCAGCTGTTGTGTGGTGCCCATATCTTAAGAAGCACATCAACAAACTGGAAAAGGTGCAAAGACATGCTACGAAGTGGCTCCCAGAACTGAAGGGCAAGAGCTACGAGGAGAGGTTAGAAGCATTAAATATGCCAAAACTAGAAGACAGAAGAAAAAGAGGTGATATGATCACTACATACAAAATAGTAACAGGAATTGATAAAATCGACAGGGAAGACTTCCTGAGACCTGGAATTTCAAGAACAAGAGGTCATAGATTTAAACTAGCTAAACACAGATGCCGAAGTAATATAAGAAAATTCACCTTCGCAAATAGAGTGGTAGACGGTTGGAACAAGTTAAGTGAGAAGGTGGTGGAGGCCAAGACCGTCAGTAGTTTCAAAGCATTATATGACAAAGAGTGCTGGGAAGACGGGACACCACGAGCGTAGCTCTCATCCTGTAACTACACTTAGGTAATTACACTTAGGTAATTACACATGCTCTCTCACGTGTGTGTGTGTGTATGTGGTGGTGTTGTTACTCACCCATATATGCATGCACACACCCTCACGCATGTACCATCACGTGCATACACTCAGATGCACCATCACATGCTCACAAAAGTATGCATGCGCATAGATACATATGCATGCAGACACACCTGAATTAGTTACAATACAATACAATACAATTTTATTTAGGTAAGGTACATACATACAATAAATATTTACAAGGATTGTTTAACTTATAGGTATAGCTAGTACATACAATGCCTAAAGCCACTATTACCCCTTACTTATAAACTAAAAGTGTTTCGTTCAGGCACTTGACTGTTATCATACTAGTCAGAAAAGTTAAAAAATAAAATTTAATAGTTTTCTTAAAAATTACTATAAAAATTATTTTGCAATTGGGCTTTTTAATCTAGAAATTGTCAGGCATACCAAACCCACATTTTTTTCAGTGTGTCAGCCAGAGAGTACATGTACCACCAAGAAAGGCACCTGCAGGACATCGCAGTGTTCCTCTGACGAGCTGGAGATCCCACAAGGCTGTACAGGCGACGGGTGTAGGTGCTGCACCCCTAAAGGTCCGGGTAAGTAGCAATAAGTATATATACACGAGTAAATAGCAGTAAAGTTGTAGTTAGTTAATTATCATGCATTCTGCTGTTGTAGTTCTTGTCCATAAATGTTTTTTAATTATGCATAACAAAATTGATTTACAGTGGTGGTTCTTGCAAAAGTATTTTCAGAATAGAAAATATGAAGTACTGTATAACAACATATCCTCTTCTCAATATTGCAGTTTGTAAACAACAAAGTACATGTAGTGCCAAGAAAGGAACCTGCAAAAGATCACAGTGCTCAGCTGATGAGCTAGAGATCCCACAAGGATGTACAGGGGATGGATGTAGGTGCTGTGCCCGTAAAGGTCAGTTTCGATTAATTGATGTACTCGTGTGTACAGTCATGCGTGCATATATACGTTCCCTCACATGAATGTGCACACATACCCTCACATGAATGTGCACACGTACCCTCACATGAATGTGCACACGTACCCTCACATGAATGTGCACACGTACCCTCACATGAATGTGCACACGTACCCTCACATGAATGTGCACACGTACCCTCACATGAATGTGCACACGTACCCTCACATGAATGTGCACACGTACCCTCACATGAATGTGCACACGTACCCTCACATGAATGTGCACACGTACCCTCACATGAATGTGCACACGTACCCTCACATGAATGTGCACACGTACCCTCACATGAATGTGCACACGTACCCTCACATGAATGTGCACACGTACCCTCACATGAATGTGCACACGTACCCTCACATGAATGTGCACACGTACCCTCACATGAATGTGCACACGTACCCTCACATGAATGTGCACACGTACCCTCACATGAATGTGCACACGTACCCTCACATGAATGTGCACACGTACCCTCACATGAATGTGCACACGTACCCTCACATGAATGTGCACACGTACCCTCACATGAATGTGCACACGTACCCTCACATGAATGTGCACACGTACCCTCACATGAATGTGCACACGTACCCTCACATGAATGTGCACACGTACCCTCACATGAATGTGCACACGTACCCTCACATGAATGTGCACACGTACCCTCACATGAATGTGCACACGTACCCTCACATGAATGTGCACACGTACCCTCACATGAATGTGCACACGTACCCTCACATGAATGTGCACACGTACCCTCACATGAATGTGCACACGTACCCTCACATGAATGTGCACACGTACCCTCACATGAATGTGCACACGTACCCTCACATGAATGTGCACACGTACCCTCACATGAATGTGCACACGTACCCTCACATGAATGTGCACACGTACCCTCACATGAATGTGCACACATGAGAGGGAAGGAAGAGGTGGGGGGTGGTGTAGCTCTGCTGGTAAGAAAAGGCTGGGATTTTGAGGAGATGGATATTCAGGGCTGTGAAGGTTTCAGTGACTACATAGCAGGTACCGTAACAAATGGAGGGAAAAAATTATAGTCGTAGTCATATATAATCCACCACCAAATGACTGAAAACCTAGACAGGAATATGATAGAAACAACATGGCCACCATTAACATAATAGAAAGAGCAGCTTCTGTTGCTAGCAGGAATGGATCTGGACTACTAATTATGGGAGACTTCAACCATGGGAAGATAGATTGGAAGAACAGAGACCCGCATGGAGGACCAGAAACATGGAGAGCTAAGCTGCTGGATGTGGCAACAAGAAACTTTCTAAGCCAGCACATCAAAGAACCAACAAGAATGAGAGGAGAAGATGAACCAGCAATGCTTGATTTGATATTTACCCTAAATGAGTGGGATATAAGGGAAGTTAAGATGGAAGCGCCCTTGGGAATGAGTGACCACAGTGTATTGAACTTTGAGTATCTGGTAGAGCTAGGACTTATCTTCCCCAAAAAAGAACTAGGAATCAAAAGGCTGGCATACCGAAAGGGGAATTATGAACAGATGAGAAGTTTCCTAAGTGAAATACCTTGGGACACAGACCTCAGAGATAAGTCTGTACAGGGTATGATGGACTATGTTACCCAAAAGTGTCAGGAGGCAGTAAACAGGTTCATCCCGGCCCAAAGGGAAAGATCAGAGAAGCAACAGAAGAATCCATGGTATAATAGGGCATGTATGGAAGCGAAGAAACTGAACAAAAGAGCGTGGAGGAACTTCCGGAATAACAGAACACCAGAAAGCAGAGAGAGATACCAGAGAACCAGGAATGAGTACGTCAGGGTGAGAAGAGAAGCAGAGAAAAGTTTTGAAAATGATATAGCAAACAAAGCCAAGACCGAACCAAAGCTACTCCACAGTCACATCAGAAGGAAAACAACAGTGAAAGAACAGGTATTGAAACTTCGAACAGGCGAGGACAGGTATACAGAGAATGACAGAGGTGTGTGAAGAACTCAACAAGAGGTTCCAGGAGGTCTTCACAATAGAACAAGGTGAGGTCACTGTGCTAGGAGAAAGGGAGGTAAACCAGGCGGCCTTGGAAGAGTTCGAAATTACGAGAGAGGAGGTCAAGAGACACCTGCTGGATCTGGATGTTAGAAAGGCTGTTGGTCCAGATGGGATCTCACCATGGATACTGAAAGAGTGTGCAGAGGCACTTTGCTTGCCACTCTCCATAGTGTATAGTAAGTCACTGGAGACGGGAGACCTACCAGAAATATGGAAGACGGCGAATGTGGTCCCAATATATAAAAAGGGCGTCATTCAAGAGGCACTGAACTACAGGCCAGTGTCCTTGACTTGTATACCATGCAAGGTGATGGAGAAGATCGTGAGAAAAAACCTGGTAACACATCTGGAGAGAAGGGACTTCGTGACAAATCACCAACATGGGTTCAGGGAGGGTAAATCTTGCATTACAGGCTTGATAGAATTCTACGATCAGGTGACAAAGATTAAGCAAGAAAGAGAGGGCTGGGCGGACTGCATTTTCTTGGCTTATCGGAAAGCCTTTGACACAGTACCGCATAAGAGGCTGGCACATAAGCTGGAGAGACAGGCAGGTGTAGCTGGTAAGGTGCTCCAGTGGATAAGGGAGGAACACACCAGAGGAACACACAAAGAACATTGTGAGAGGAGCGTATGCGTCCCTTTCCAACTTTAGACTTGCTTTTAATTGTATGGATGGTGAAATACTAGAGAAACTGCATAACTTTTATGAGAAAATTGGAATATGCAGCAGTTGTATGGTGCCCAAATCTCAAGAAGCACATAAATAAACTGGAAAAGATGCAATGGCATGGTACAAAATGGCTTACAGAACTGAAAACCAGAATTACGAGGAGAGACTAAAGGCGTTAAACATGCTAAAACTATTAGGTAGAAGAGGTGTGATATGCTCACCACTTATAAAATAACAGGAACAGACCAAATTGACAAAGAAGAATTACAGAAACCAGCAAACTTGACGAACAAAAGGACACAGATTCGAGCTAAGGAAAAAAAAATGTGCCGAAAAAAATATTAGAACATTTTCTTTTGCAAACAGAGTGGTAGATGGTTGGAACAAACTAAGTTAGGTGGTGGTCCACCACCTCACTTAGTTTGTGTCAGTAGTAGTCAGTAAAAATAGTCAGTAGTTTTAAAGCATCATACGACAGAGTACTGGGATGACGGGACACCACGAGCGTTGCTTTCATCCTGTAACTACACTTGGGAATTATACTTAGATAATTAAACGCTCCCACCTATAAACACTCAAGCATTAGGCTGATAACAAAATTAATAATCTGTATTTTGCATATATAATATATAATATGTATATACAATATACTGAACATTAATATATAATCAAAATACTGAACATATACAATATACAGTACTGAACAAATATACTGTATACTGAACATTGTATATACATTACTTTGAGAAAGGATGTAGGGTACATCCGAAAATTTGTTTTTTAATACACTTGAGTATAAATTGGGTCTTTCCTTCACCTTCAATCGGTATTTCCATAAATATACAAAACATATTTTGCAACTGTGCTTTTAATGTAGAAATTGTCTGGCATAACAAATCCGCATCTTTTCAGTGTGTCAGCCTGAGAGTATATGTACCACCAAGCAAGGCACCTGCACAACATCGCAGTGTTCAGCTGATGAGCTGGAGATCCCACAAGGCTGTACAGGCATTGGGTGTAGGTGCTGTGCCCCTAAAGGTCCAGGTCAGTACAGTTAGTATATTTTAGCAATGTAGATTTGTTCTGTTTCATAATTGTAAACCAACACAATTTTTATTACAAGACCAAAATAATTACCGAAATTGCAGGAGGCCCATTGGCCCCATACAAGGCAGCTCCTATTTATTTTCACCCAAACTCATCCATAAATATATCTTATTTGTCAAGTAATTTCATATCCAATATGTCCATTTATCTTTAAATATTTATACAGTACTTTAATTGTTGGCTGTAGAAAATATTTTAGCGCAATTGTATTTTTTTATTAGAAAGCGCGCGTACCCTAATTGACCTCATTTGTGTCATATTGCAGTCTGTCAACGACAAAGTTTATGTACCACCAAGAAAGGTATTTGCAAAACATCGCAGTGTTCAGCTGATGAGCTGGAGGTCACACAAGGCTGTACAGGCAACGGGTGTAGATGCTGCGCCCCTAAAGGTAAAGGATATTAGCGATGAATAAATGTACACATGTACAGTAATACATTCAGATGCGCGCACACTTGCACACACCCTCACATCCATGAACATAAACGCACCCTCACATGCACCCATATTCACATGCACACCCAAACATGGATTCACATATGCATGCACTTACGCAAGCTTAAATTTATGCACACACACACACGCACCATCGCATATATACACACACACACCCTCACATGAATTCACACACACGCATCATCACACACATCCTTTCACACACACACAAGCATACAGACAAACACACCAAAATTAAAATTAATTGCTTGTCAACCAAAAGTGTTAGTTCAGGCATGCGTCTTATTATACTGGCTTAGAAAAGTTACAAAGATACTTTCAATCTGTATTTTCATAAATATTGATGTAAGAATACTGGGCATTTAAACCAAGAAATTCAGGTGTAACTAGCCTGCATCTTTTTTTACTTTTCAGTGTGTCAGCCAGAGAGTACATGTACCACCAAGAAAGGCACCTGCAGGACATCGCAATGTTCAGCTGATGAGCTGGAGATCCCGCAAGGGTGTACAGGCGACGGGTGTAGGTGCTGCGCCCCGAAAGGTCCAGGTCAGTACAGTTATTATATTTTAGCAATGTAGATTTTTGTTTTGTTTCATAATCGAAAACCAACACAACTTTTACTATAAGGATAAAATAATAACGGAAATATCAGGAGGTTCATTGGCCCATACAAGGCAGCTCCTATTTATGTCCACACAAACTCATCCATAAATATATCTATTTGTTCAAGTGCATATACTATATGTCCACTCATCAATTAATATTTACATTATTTAGTCCTTTTTTATTGAAAATATTTTAACGCAATTTTACTTTTTAAATTAGAAAGCTGCATCCTCCCTAATTCACCTGACTTACATCATATTGCAGTCTGTCAACAACAAAGTTTATGTACCACCAAGAAAGGTATTTGCAAAACATCGCAATGTTCAGCTGATGAGCTGGAGATCCCACAAGGCTGTACAGGCGACGGGTGTAGGTGCTGCACCCCTAAAGGTCCAGGTCAGTAGCAATCAGTATATTTACACACTGATAAATATCACAAACGTTGTAAATAATTAGTTATCAGGCACTCGGCTATTGTAATGCTGGTCCAGAAAACAGTTTCTAAATTATAATCTGCAATAACGGTATTGGTTTCCAAAGGTTTTTCCTGCAAGTGTGTTTTTCAAAATAGAAAATATGAAGACTTATAACACATCCTGTTTTTAATATTGCAGTTTGTAAACAAGAAAGTACATGTACTGCCAAGAAAGGCACCTGCACAACATCACAGTGTTCAGCAAGTGAGCTGGAGATCCCACAAGGCTGTACAGGCGACGGGTGTAGGTGCTGCACCCCTAAAGGTAAAGAATATTAGTGATAAATAAATGTACATGTGTACAGTCATACATGCAAATGCAAATATACATGTACACATACCCTCACATCCATGCACATAAACGTACCCTTCACATGCTTCCATATACACATGTACACCAAAACATGGATTCACATAAGCATGCACTCACGCAAGCATAAATTACACTTGGGTAATTACACACACACACACACACACACACGTGTGCGTGCGTGTGAGAGAATGCGTGTGTGTGAATGCGTGTGTGTGAATTCATGTGAGGGAGGGTGTGTATGTGCGATGGAGCGTGTGTGTGCATAAATGATTTATGCACACGCGCGCACCATCGCACATACACGCGCGCACCATTGTACATACACACCCTCCCTCACATGAATTCACACACACACACATTCTCTCACACGCACGCATACTGTGTGTGTGTGTAATTACCTAAGTGTAATTTATGCACACGCACGCACCATCGTACATACACACCCTCCCTCACATGAATTCACACACACGCATTCTCTCACACGCACGCACACGTGTGTGTGTGTGTGTGTGTGTAATTACCTAGTGTGTGTGTGTGTGTGCGGGATCCAATAGGCGATCCAAGATCAGAGGCGGGATCCAAGAGTCAATGCTCGATCCTGCAGACACAATTAGGCGAGTGCACGTGCGCGCGCACACACAAGCACACTCACACACACACACACACACACACACACACACACACACAAATTGCAGGTAAAGGATAATATTCAGAGGTTGAAAATGGGAAATAGATTCACGGAAGATGAAAAGGAAATGTGTGAAACACTAAACGAAAAGTTCCAAAGTGTGTTTGTACAAAATGAAATCTTTAGGGAACCAGATACAATAAGAATTCCAGAGAACAACATAGAGCACATAGAGGTGTCTAGAGACGAAGTGGAAAAAATGCTCAAGGAGCTAAGTAAGAACAAAGCAGCTGGCCCAGATGGAGTTTCACCATGGGTTCTGAGAGAATGTGCACCTGAGCTCAGCATTCCACTTCACCTGATCTTTCAGGCATCCCTGTGTACAGGAATCGTAGCAGACGTGTGGAAACAGGCTAACATAGTTCCAATCTACAAAAGTGGCAGCAGGGAAGACCCCCTCAATTATAGACCTGTATCATTGACAAGTGTAATAGTGAAAGTATTGGAAAAGCTAATCAAAACTAAATGGGTAGAACACCTGGAGAGAAATGATATAATATCAGACACAGTATGGTTTTCGATCTGGAAGATCCTGTGTATCGAATTTACTCAGTTTCTATGATCGAGCCACAGATATTACAAGAAAGAGATGGTTGGGTTGACTGCATCTATCTGGACCTAAAAAAGGCTTTCGACAGAGTTCCACATAAGAGGTTGTTCTGGAAACTGGAAAATATTGGAGGGGTGACAGGTAAGCTTCTATCATGGATGAAAAATTTTCTGACTGATAGAAAAATGAGGGCAGTAATCAGAGGCAATGTATCGGAATGGAGAAATGTCACAAGTGGAGTACCACAGGGTTCAGTTCTTGCACCAGTGATGTTTATTGTGTACATTAATGATCTACCAGTTAGTATACAGAATTATATGAACATGTTTGTTGATGATGCTAAGATAATAGGAAGGATAATAAATTTAGATGATTGTCATGCCCTTCAAGAAGACCTGGACAAAATAAGTATATGGAGCACCACCTGGCAAATGGAATTTAATGTTAATAAATGTCATGTTATGGAATGTGGAATAGGAGAACATAGACCCCATACAACCTATATATTATGTGAGAAATCTTTAAAAAATTCTGATAAAGAAAGAGATCTAGGGGTGGTTCTAGATAGAAAACTATCACCTGAGGACCACATAAAGAATATTGTGCAAGGAGCCTATGCTATGCTTTCTAACTTCAGAATTGCATTTAAATACATGGATGGCGATATACTAAAGAAATTATTCATGACTTTTGTTAGGCCAAAGCTAGAATATGCAGTTGTTGTGTGGTGCCCATATCTTAAGAAGCACATCAACAAACTGGAAAAGGTGCAAAGACATGCTACGAAGTGGCTCCCAGAACTGAAGGGCAAGAGCTACGAGGAGAGGTTGGAAGCATTAAACATGCCAAAACTAGAAGACAGAAGAAAAAGAGGTGATATGATCTCTACATACAAAATAGTAACAGGAATTGATAAAATCGACAGGGAAGATTTCCTGAGACCTGGCACTTCAAGAACAAGAGGTCATAGATTTAAACTAGCTAAACACAGATGCCGAAGTAATATAAGAAAATTCACCTTCGCAAATAGAGTGGTAGACGGTTGGAACAAGTTAAGTGAGAAGGTGGTGGAGGCCAAGACCGTCAGTAGTTTCAAAGCGTTATATGACAGAGTGCTGGGAAGACGGGACACCACGAGCATAGCTCTCATCCTGTAACTACACTTAGGTAATTACACTTAGGTAATTACACACAAACACACACATATAACATCAAAATTATAATTAATTGCTTATCAACCAAAAGTGTTTAGTTCAGGCAATTGTCTGTTATTATACTGGCTTAGAAAAGTTACGAAGATAATTTCTATCTGTATTTTCATAAATATTGATGTAAGAATACTGGGCATGTTAACCTAGAAATTCAGGCATAACTAACATGCATCTTTTATACTTTTCAGTGTGTCAGCCAGAGAGTATATGTACCACCAAGAAAGGCACCTGCAGGACATCGCAGTGTTCAGCTGATGAGCTGGAAGTCCCACAAGGCTGTACAGGCGACGGGTGTAGGTGCTGCGCCCCTAAAGGTCCAGGTCAGTAGCAATCAGTATATTTACACACTGATAAATATCACAAAAGTTGTAAATAATTAGTTATCAGGTACTCGGCTATTGTAATGCTGGTCCAGAAAACAGTTTCTAAATTATAATCTGCAATAACGGTATTGGTTTCCAAAGGTTTTTCCTGCAAGTGTGTTTTTCATAATAGAAAATATGAAGACTTATAACACATCCTGTTTTTAATATTGCAGTTTGTAAACCACAAAGTACATGTACCGCCAAGAAAGGCACCTGCACAACATCACAGTGTTCAGCAGATGAGCTGGAGATCCCACAAGGCTGTACAGGCGATGGATGTAGGTGCTGCGCCCCTAAAGGTCCAGGTCAGTATCAATTTTTTTTTTACGTAGATACAATTCTTACATTTTTGTAAAGTCACTAGCATGGATAACATTTTGGGCAGGCCCTTCATCTTAATTTTCCTTGGAAAACAACCCACCAAATAGTTTAACAACCAGGTATCCATTAGCTACTGGGTGAACAGAGGCTTACAGTTAAGGATTGGCATCTAGTCAGTCCTCCTCAGCCAGTTCGTACATGAACCCAGGCCAAAATGCTCTTCAAGCGTGTGGGGTGAGTGTCCAACCACTGCATCACGGAGACAGCTAAATTACTGTATTGTATTTAAACAATGCAAATTTGTTCATTTGCAAATTATTGTAAACCAAGACAACTCTTATTACAAGAACACAAGAATAGCGTAAGTTGCAAGAGGCTCATTGTCCATTCAAGGCAGCCCCTGTTTATATCGACCCAAACTCGTTCGTAAATATATCTATTTGGTCAAGCAAGTTAATATCCTATACGATAAATATTTGTACTTTAATCATTTGCTATAGAAAATAATTTAGCACAGTTGTATTTTTAAGATTAAAAAACTGCACCTACCCTAATTCACCTGCCTTGTCATATTGCAGTATGTCAACAACAAAGTTTATGTACCACCAAGAAAGGTATTTGCAAAACAGCGCAGTGTTCAGCTGATGAGCTGGAGATCCCACAAGGATGTACAGGCGACGGGTGTAGGTGTTGCACACCAAAAGGTAAAGGATATTTGCGATAAATAAATGTACGTATGTACAGTCGTACATGAAGATGCACATACACCTGCACACATACCCTCACATCCATACACACATACGCCCCCTCACATGCACTCGTATATACATGCACACCCTCACATGGATTCAGATAAGCATACACTTGCGCAAGCTCACATGCACCTACATATGCATACACACAAAGGGCACCCTTATTTATATATATATATGTATATATATATATATATATATATATATATATATATATATATATATATATATATATATATATATATATATATATATATATATATATATATATATATATATATATATGTCGTACCTTGTAGCCAGAACGCACTTTTCAGCCTACTATGCAAGGCCCGATTTGCCTAATAAGCCAAGTTTTCCTGAATTAATATATTTTCTCTATTTTTTTTCTTGTGAAATGATAAAGCTACCCATTTCATTATGTATGAGGTCATTTTTTTTTTATTGGAGTTAAAATTAACGTAGATATATGACCGAACCTAACCAACCCAACCCAACCTAACCTAACCTAACCTATCTTTATAGGTTAGGCTAGGTTAGGTAGCCAAAAAAGTTAGGTTAGGTTAGGTAGGTTAGGTAGTCGAAAAGCAATTAATTCATGAAAACTTGGCTTATTAGGCAAATTGGGCCTTGCATAGTAGGCGGAGAAGTGCGTTCTGGCTACTAGGTACGACATATATAATATATATATATATATATATATATATATATATATATATATATATATATATATATATATATATATATATATATATATATATATATATATATATATATATATATATATATATATATATATATATATATATGTCGTACCTAGTAGCCAGAACGCACTTCTCAGCCTACTATGCAAGGCCCGATTTGCCTAATAAGCCAAGTTTTTATGAAATTATATGTTTTCTCTAATTTTTTTCTTATGAAATGAAAAAGCTACCCATTTCATTATGTATGAGGTAAAAAAATTTTTATTGGAGTTAAAATTAACGTAGATATATGACCGAACCTAACCAACCCTACCTAACCTAACCTAACCTATCTTTATAGGTTAGGTTCGGTTAGGTAGCAGTAAAAGGTAGGTTAGGTTAGGTTAGGTAGGTTAGGTAGTCAAAAAACAATTAATTCATGAAAACTTGGCTTATTAGGCAAATCGGGCCTTGCATAGTAGGCTGAGAAGTGCGTTCTGGCTACTAGGTACGACATATATATATATATATATATATATATATATATATATATATATATATATATATATATATATATATATATATATATATATATATATATATATATATATATATATATATATATATATAATTATATTATTAAATATGACCGAAAAAGTAAGATTAATAATTCTAACACGAATTTTCTCAATCTTTCGTACATTACGCTTCACTGTTGGAGGTAAATAAAAAATCAATTCTCCAAAATTCATTTTTATTTCTAGTCTGACGCGACACGGGCGCGTTTCGTAAAACTTATTACATTTTCAAAGACTTTAGTTCACAAATACACAACTGAATAGAACTTACGTATCTCCGATTTTATATCTACATTTGAGTTAGGTGGGAGGGGTGATGTGGCATTAACACAAGACAGAACAAGAGGGGATATTAATAGGGTTTGCAAACTTCTACATGAGTACCATCGAGCAAAAAGTCTTAGTCGACATGAACTTGAAACCGGCCATATACTGCAGGTATGTTGACGACATTTTTACACAGGTACCTGATGTCAGACATCTGCAGGAGCTGAAGGAGGCATTTGAGCAGTGTTCCGTGCTGCGTTTCACTTACGAGATGGAAAAGGATGGGAAGCTGCCCTTTCTAGATGTAACAGTCATGGAAAAGGGCGGAGGTTTCCACACTGCAGTCTACACTAAGGAAACAAACATAGGAATGTGCCTAAATGCCAACAGCGACTGCTCTGACAGGTACAAGAGGAGTGTTGTTAACGCATATGTCGACCGTGCTCTCAGCCACAGCTCAGAATGGAAGCAAGTCGACGAAGAACTCTGTAGGGTAAGGCAGGTCCTAGTCAATAACGGCTTCTCCAATGGTTTCGTCGAAGACATCATAAGAAGGAAAGTGAAAAGCCATGCAACCTCTGAAGAGACAACTAACACAACACCTATACCCCCTATTAGACTATTTTACAGGAACTTCTTTTCCACAGCTCATAAAACGGAGGAAAGGGTCCTGAAAGATATTGTTAATAGAAACGTTATCCCTACAGACAAAAATCAGAGGATACAACTGACGATTTACTATAAAACCAGAAAAACGGCCAGCCTACTCATGAGAAACTCTCCAGACACAAAACAGAACGCTTTAAAAGAGACTAACGTCGTCTATGCCTTCAAATGCCCACTTGGGGACTGTAAGCTCCAAAAAACCCAGTATATAGGCAAGACAACAACATCTCTTTCTAGGCGTTTAACGATGCATAAGCAACAGGGCTCCATTAAGGAACATATAATCTCTTCCCACAACCAAACCATCGCCAGAGAAATCCTAGTAAACAACACAGAAATCATCGATAGATACAGCGATAGCAGGCGGCTTGACGTTTGCGAGGCACTACACATCAAGAAGTCAACACCAGCAATCAACAGCCAATTATTGCACAACTATATTCTACCCACCTCAAGACTCCGCTCCAATATAGAAGCATCAAGAAATATGGACCAATAGGCTTTCTACAAACACTTCTATTCAATACCCATTGTTTGTGTTCTGTCTTGTGTTGATACTTTTAATACCCTATTAATATCCCCTCTTGTTCTGTCTTGTGTTAATGCCACATCACCCCTCCCACCTCACTCAAATGTAGATATAAAATCGGAGATACGTAAGTTCTATTCAGTTGTGTATTTGTGAACTAAAGTCTTTGAAAATGTAATAAGTTTTACGAAACGCGCCCGTGTCGCGTCAGACTAGAAACAAAAATGAATTTTGGAGAATTGATTTTTGATTTACCTCCAACAGTGAAGCGTAATGTACGAAAGATTGAGAAAATTCGTGTTAGAATTATTAATCTTACTTTTTCGGTCATATTTAATAATATATGTCTACAGGAAAGACTGCTACCAAAATATACTAATATATATATATATATATATATATATATATATATATATATATATATATATATATATATATATATATATATATATATATATATATATATATATATATATGTCGTACCTAGTAGCCAGAACGCACTTCTCAGCCTACTATGCAAGGCCCGATTTGCCTAATAAGCCAAGTTTTCCTAAATTAATATATTTTCTCTAATTTTTTTCTTATGAAATGATAAAGCTACCAATTTCATCATGTATGAAGTCAATTTTTTTTTATTGGAGTTAAAATTAACGTAGATCTATGACCGAACCTAACCAACCCTACCTAACCTAACCTAACCTATCTTTATAGGTTAGGTTAGGTTAGGTAGCCGAAAACGTTAGGTTAGGTTAGGTTAGGTAGGTTAGGTTGTCGAAAAAACATTAATTCATGAAAACAAGGCTTATTAGGCAAATCAGGCCTTGCATAGTAGGCTGAGAAGTGAGTTCTGGCTACTAGGTACGACATATATATATATATATATATATATATATATATGTCGTACCTAGTAGCCAGAACTCACTTCTCAGCCTACTATGCGAGGCCCGATTTGCCTAATAAGCCAAGTTTTACTGAATTAATATATTTTCTCTATTTTTTTTCTTATGAAATGATAAAGCTACCCATTTCATTATGTATGAGGTCAATTTTTTTTTATTGGAGTTAAAATTAACGTAGATATATGACCGAACCTAATCAACCCTACCTAACCTAACCTAACCTATCTTTATAGGTTAGGTTAAGTTAGGTAGCCGAAAACGTTAGGTTAGGTTAGGTTAGGTAGGTTAGGTTGTCGAAAAAACATTAATTCATGAAAACTAGGCTTATTAGGCAAATCGGGTCTTGCATAGTAGGCTGAGAAGTGAGTTCTGGCTACTAGGTACGACATATATATATATATATATATATATATATGTCGTACCTAGTAGCCAGAACGCACTTCTCAGCCTACTATGCAAGGCCCGATTTGCCTAATAAGCCAAGTTTTCTTGAATTAATTGTTTTTCGACTACCTAACCTACCTAACCTAACCTAACTTTTTCGGCTACCTAACCTAACCTAACCTATAAATATAGGTTAGGTTAGGTTAGGTAGGGTTGGTTAGGTTCGGTCATATATCTACGTTAATTTTAACTCCAATAAAAAAAATTGACCTCATACATAATGAAATGGGTAGCTTTATCATTTCATAAGAAAAAAATTAGAGAAAATATATTAATTCAGAAAAACTTGGCTTATTAGGCAAATCGGGCCTTGCATAGTAGGCCGAGAAGTGCGTTCTGGCTACTAGGTACGACATATATATATATATATATATATATATATATATATATACACACATACATACATACATACATACACACACACACACACACACACACACACACACACACACACACACACACACACACACACATACATACATACACACTGAAGGGCAAGAGCTACGAGGAGAGGTTGGAAGCATTAAACATGCCAAAACTAGAAGACAGAAGAAAAAGAGGTGATATGATCACTACGTACAAAATAGTAACAGGAATTGATAAAATCGACAGGGAAGGATTCCTGAGACCTGGCACTTCAAGAACAAGAGGTCATAGATTTAAACTAGCTAAACACAGATGCCGAAGAAATATAAGAAAATTCACCTTCGCAAATAGAGTGGTAGACGGTTGGAACAAGTTAAGTGAGAAGGTGGTGGAGGCCAAGACCGTCAGTAGTTTCAAAGCGTTATATGACAAAGAGTGCTGGGAAGACGGGACACCACGAGCGTAGCTCTCATCCTGTAACTACACTTAGGTAATTACACTTAGGTAATTACACACACATATACATACATACATACACACACACACACATCTACTCTCGCGTTCATGCACACATACTCACACTCGCGCATCATCGCATGCACTCACTCACTCCACTCACTCACTCACTCCACTCACTCACTCCACTCACTCACTCCACTCACTCACTCCACTCACTCCACTCACTCCACTCACTCCACTCACTCACTCACTCACTCACTCACTCACTCACTCACTCACTCACTCACTCACTCACTCACTCACTCACTCACTCACTCACTCACTCACTCACTCCACTCACTCCACTCACTCCACTCACTCACTCCACTCACTCACTCCACTCACTCACTCCACTCACTCCACTCACTCACTCCACTCACTCACTCCACTCACTCACTCCACTCACTCACTCCACTCACTCACTCCACTCACTCACTCCACTCACTCACTCCACTCACTCACTCCACTCACTCACTCCACTCACTCCACTCACTCACTCCACTCACTCACTCCACTCACTCACTCCACTCACTCACTCCACTCACTCACTCACTCACTCACTCCACTCACTCACTCACTCGGGAACCTGTACACCTGTTGATTGATGGTTGAAAGATGGGACCAAAGAGCCAAGAGCTCAACCGCCGAAAAGCACAATTAGGCGAGTACATACAACACCTAAATTATAATTAATTGCTTATCGAGCCTAGGCGTTTAGTTCAGGCACTTTTCTGCTATTATATTGGCTCAGAAAAGTTAGAGAATTTCAATACTTGTAATCTGTATTTTCATAAATATTGATATAATATTTTGCAACTGGGCTTTATAACTTAGAAATTCAGGCATAAGAAACTCACATCTTTTTACCCAGTCTGTCAGCCAGAGAGTACATGTACCACCAAGAAAGGGACCTGCACAACATCACAGTGTTCAGCAGATGAGCTGGAGATTCCACAAGGCTGTACAGGTGACGGGTGTAGGTGCTGCGCCCCTAAAGGTCTAGGTGAGTAGCTATCAATATATTTACACACTGGTAAATATCACAGCAGTTGTAATTAATTAGTTATCAGGCATTTGGCTGTTGTAATGCTGGTCCAGAAAAGTTTCTAGATTATAAACTGCTATAACAATATTGGTTTCCAAAGTTTTTTCCAGCAACTGTGTATTTCAAAATGGAAAATATGAAGACTAATAACACAACCTGTAATCAATATTGCAGTTTGTAAACAACAAAGTATATGTACTGTCAAGAAGGGTATTTGCAAAACATCGCAGTGTTCATCTGACGAGTTAGAGATATCACAAGGCTGCACAGGCAACGGGTGTAGGTGCTGCACCCATAAAAGTCAAGGTTAGCTTCTATCAATAAACATACGCATGTGCAGTCAGTCACACAGTCAGAAAAAGGTGACACCCCTAGGGTCAACACTTGCAGCAGAGGAGCTCCAGCATATTTCAACAATCCTAAGTATTGTAGTACAGGTTGATGGTAGTGAGTGGTGTCCCACAGAACATAAAGGTATAGTGCTCTTGAAAAATAGGTGAGATAACAGGAAAGTGCTAAGGGAAGTGAAGAATCGGATGAGAAAAAGTTGCCCTAGTGTTTACAGTGCAGAGAAGAACATTCAAGATGGCCACTGGCAAGGGGAAAAACAAAACAGAGCTTGATTTTGAGGGATTCAATGAAGAAAGCATTGATATTAGTAGTCTACATAACAAGTTGGTAAATTTAGATACTATAGTGAACTCTCATGTAGAAATAATTAGTAAATTGAAAGAAAGTAATGACCATTTGAATAGCAAAGTTTTATGTCTTGAGGGTTTAGTGAAAGACTTGCGCAAGGATAAGAATCAATTGGAAACAAATTGCAAAGCCATGGAAGAAGAAAATAAACTCTTAAAAATAGCTTTGGAAGAAGTTAAAGTAAATTTAAACATAAATGACTACAATAGGTTAGGCAAGGAAATTCAACAGGAGAAACAGCTTTTGTCAGCACAGATGGAGGAAGTTACACAGGGAATAGAACAGTGCAAGAAAGATATGCAACTCACTTATGCACAAGTGGCCAAGGAGAAGGAAAAAATAGAAGAAGCAGTAAAGGAAGTCAAACACTGCAGCAACCAAGATAAAACAAACATTAGGCTAGAAGTGAGGAAAGAATTGGCATCTAACCCGAAGTTGATGCAAAACACAGTTGATCGGAGTAAGTCCCTGATCATTTTTGGCTGCAAAGAAAAGGCGATAACATCTAGGTCAGAAAGAGCTGTAGAAGAAGCTAAAGTAGTAGATAAAATTGTTGGCCTCGTGGAAGGTCTTACAAACAGAGAGAATGTGTGCGACTACAGGAGAATAGGCAGGTACGTAAAAGGGAAAGATCGACCTTTGAGGATCACCCTAAACGGTGCCAAACAGATGGAAGAAGTACTAAGGAATGCTAGAAAATTGCAAAGGGATGAGGATGGGAAAGGGTGGTCGTTAAGATGAGATCTTTCAAAAGAAGATAGAGAGAAGCTGAAACTGAACCTCGCCGAGGCAAAACATTTAAATGAGAGCAGGAATGAAGAAGAAATAAATTCTTTTTTCTACAAAGTGATAGGGGTAGGCAAACCAGTAAAGTGGTACATAAAGGCAAACCAACAAAATCAATAGAGAGAGGGGGAGTGAAGAATAAGGAGAGGGGGAACAAGTTCCTGAAGATTGCATACACCAACATAGATGGAGTGAGATCGAAGATACTGGAGTTAAGTGATGTAATACAGCTGCAGACACCAGACATTGTTGCACTCACGGAGACAAAACTTGAAGATGTAATTTTAAATGAGGTCATATTCCCAAGGGGCTACTCAATTTGGAGACGGGACAGAAAAATTAGGAAAGGCGGTGGCGTTGCTGTGCTGGTAAAAGAACACCTAAAGGTGAAGGAAATAATGACTGCCAATCCACAAGAAGTTGACATAATAGCACTAGAGATCTGCTATGAGGATGATAAACTAATGATGATAAATGCATATAGTCCACCGCCAAGCAGCACATGGTCAAAGGAGGAGCTAGATAGTAAACGTGAAGGTCTTATAACAATAATGAGAGAGATTATAGCGAGAGCGGATAACGATAGATCACGACTGTTGATAGTCGGTGACTTCAACTTGAAATCCATAGACTGGGAAGCATATGAAGCTAAAACAGAAGATTTTTGGACCTGTAAATTTGTAGACCTCATCCTGGAAACATTCTTGTATCAACATGTTAAACAAGCTACGAGGATGAGGGAAGGGGACGTTCCCTCCATGCTAGATTTGATATTTACCAGGAAGGAGGAAGAGATATTTGACATTCAGTACCTTCCTCCCTTGGGTAAAAGTGACCATGTCTTTTTGGGAATAAAGTATGCAATGCGTTATAAGCTGGAAGAAAATAAGGAGGTTGAAGCAGTTGAAAAACCAGACTTCAGGAGAGGACATTATGGTGACCTTAGAAATTTTTTTAGTGAGTATAATTGGACAGACTTGATGCTAGGCAAGGAAGTGAATGAGATGTATGGCAAGTTTTGTGAAATATATGATAAAGGCACAAAAAAATTTATACCAAAACAGAGATGCAGGACCAGAAAACAGGATTGGTTCGACAGAAATTGTGAGAGGGCAAGAGACCAAAAGACACAAAAATGGAATCAGTATAGGAAGAGGCCAAACCCCCAAACATACCAGCGATACAAAGATGCGAGAAACAATTATACAGCAGTAAGGAGAGAGGCAGAAAGAAATTTTGAAAAAGGGATAGCAGATAAATGTAAAACAGAACCGGGCCTATTCTACAAATTCATAAACAACAAATTGCAGGTAAAGGATAATATCCAGAGGTTGGAAATGGGAAACAGATTCACGGAAAATGAAAAGGAAATGTGTGAAACATTAAATGAAAAGTTCCAAAGTGTGTTTGTACAAAATGAAATCTTCAGAGAACCAGACACAATAAGAATTCCAGAGAACAACATAGAGCGGATAGAGGTGTCTAGAGATGAAGTGGAAAATATGCTAAAGGAGCTCGGGAGGAACAAAGCAGCTGGCCCAGATGGCGTTTCACCATGGGTTCTGAGAGAATGTGCATCTGAGCTCAGCATTCCACTTCACCTGATCTTTCAGGCATCCCTGTGTACAGGAATCGTAGCAGACGTGTGGAAACAGGCTAACATAGTTCCAATCTACAAAAGTGGCAGCAGGGAAGACCCCCTCAATTATAGACCTGTATCATTGACAAGTGTAATAGTGAAAGTATTGGAAAAGCTAATCAAAACTAAATGGGTAGAACACCTGGAGAGAAATGATATAATATCAGACAGACAGTATGGTTTTCGATCAGGAAGATCCTGTGTATCGAATTTACTCAGTTTCTATGATCGGGCCACAGAGATATTACAGGAAAGAGATGGCTGGGTTGACTGCATCTATCTGGACCTAAAAAAGGCTTTCGACAGAGTTCCACATAAGAGGTTGTTCTGGAAACTGGAAAATATTGGAGGGGTGACAGGTAAGCTTCTATCATGGATGAAAAATTTTCTGACTGATAGAAAAATGAGGGCAGTAATCAGAGGCAATGTATCGGAATGGAGAAATGTCACAAGTGGAGTACCACAGGGTTCAGTTCTTGCACCAGTGATGTTTATTGTGTACATAAATGATCTACCAGTTGGTATACAGAATTATATGAACATGTTTGCTGATGATGCTAAGATAATAGGAAGGATAAGAAATTTAGATGATTGTCATGCCCTTCAAGAAGACCTGGACAAAATAAGTATATGGAGCACCACTTGGCAAATGGAATTTAATGTTAATAAATGTCATGTTATGGAATGTGGAATAGGAGAACATAGACCCCACACAACCTATATATTATGTGAGAAATCTTTAAAGAATTCTGATAAAGAAAGAGATCTAGGAGTGGTTCTAGATAGAAAACTATCACCTGAGGACCACATTAAGAATATTGTGCAAGGAGCCTATGCAATGCTTTCTAACTTCAGAATTGCATTTAAATACATGGATGGCGATATACTAAAGAAATTGTTCATGACTTTTGTTAGGCCAAAGCTAGAATATGCAGCTGTTGTGTGGTGCCCATATCTTAAGAAGCACATCAACAAACTGGAAAAGGTGCAAAGACATGCTACTAAGTGGCTCCCAGAACTGAAGGGCAAGAGCTACGAGGAGAGGTTAGAAGCATTAAATATGCCAAAACTAGAAGACAGAAGAAAAAGAGGTGATATGATCACTACGTACAAAATAGTAACAGGAATTGATAAAATCGACAGGGAAGACTTCCTGAGACCTGGAACTTCAAGAACAAGAGGCCATAGATTTAAACTAGCTAAACACAGATGCCGAAGAAATATAAGAAAATTCACCTTCGCAAATAGAGTGGTAGACGGTTGGAACAAGTTAAGTGAGAAGGTGGTGGAGGCCAAGACCGTCAGTAGTTTCAAAGCGTTATATGACAGTGCTGGGAAGACGGGACACCACGAGCGTAGCTCTCATCCTGTAACTACACTTAGGTAATTACACTTAGGTAATTACACATGCACATACCTTCACTTGCATGCGCGCGCACACGTGCACCACATGCATGCACACTCCTCACTCGCACCCATGTATGCATGTACACACAGGACACACACTCTTGCAAAATGACATGCATGCATGCACTTCCCATCACACAGAAGCACACACACGCACCCTCACACTCCCATGCACACACATGTACCCTCATGCGCACGTACACATACGCATAGTGATGCACAATAAAAAACTTGTAATTGATCACTTCTTAAAATTTCATTAGTTCAGACACTCGTCTGTTATACTCGCTCAGAAGAATTAACACAAGAATTTAAATAATCTTCGTTTTCATAAATACTGTATCAATAATTATTGATAACAAAATAATTCCCAACTGTGCTTTTTAATTTAGAAATTTTCAAGCCTAAAAACCCACTTCTCTTTTCAGTGTGTCGGCCATTGATTAAATGTACCAGCAAGAAAGGCACTTGCACAACATCACAGTGTTTACCTGTAGAGCTGGAGATCCCACACGGCTGTTCAGGTGACGGGTGTAGGTGCTGCGCCCCTAAAGGTCAGTAGCAATTTGTATGTTTTCGAGCAGCAAATTTGTTTAACGGAAAAACAATTTTAAACCAACTCGGAGCTTTTAGTCGAAATTAATATTTCAAGTTTCATTATTGCTAAGCCAGCCAACAATTTTAATTACTTGAGGATTTTACTGTATGCATGTTACTGAAGCAATGGTCCTAAACATATATTTTGTATAATTAACAAAAATGAATACGGAAATACATTAAAACAAAAACAAATGTTCAATTATCTTTTTTTGTAATTATATTTATTGAACTTTGGAAAGTACATTCATCAAATAAGCTTTATCATCAAAATTTAATGCTAGAATATGTTCCTAACACCACTCCTATAAAGTGTATGGTGTTAGAACGGAAAACAATCCTGTATAAACAAGGTTTTCGATACTCGTTTTGTGTGATTCTAGTTCATACATAATTGAATTTTGTATGTGTAAGTTCATTAGTAAATAAATAATGGTTTTATTCAAAATATTAGTGTGTAATTGTAATTTTTAAACTAGAAAACAATACAATAACTCAACAAACCTGTCATATTAGTCTATCAGTAAGGAAGTATTGACCTGAAGTCTTTACATCACATACTTGTTTGACATCATATTTGTTCAGAAAGTGAGGAAATTGTAGTAGGCAATTTCATAAATCTTGACATTAAAAAGTATTTTCTGTGACTGTTCGTTTCAAAATAGAAAATATAAAGCTATCAACCAAGCCCCTCAGCATTGCTGTAGTCTGTCAGCCAGAGAGTACATGTACCATCAAGAAAGGAACCTGCAGATCATCGCAGTGTTCAGAAGATGAGCTGGAGATCCCACAAGGCTGTACTGGCGACGGGTGTTGGTGCTGCGCTCCTGAAGGTCGGTAGCAATCTTTATATTTATTTTGTTAATACAAATTTGATATAAAACAACCTTAAACACATGACCTCGAAGGACAATTTACTTTGTAAACATCATTGGTCTTCTATTATTACCAACGACACACAAGTTAGTGACACTTTCTAGTATACATAATGTTTAAGGTAGAGAGAATTTCACTCTTTCACAACTTTATAATAAATGTAAAATTCTCAGACGAAGGCAGGGATGGGGGGGGGGATATAAGCCCCCATACAGTTACTTTAGTCCTTAATAAATTTTGAGAGAAGGGGGGTTGGAGAGCAAAGGGATTTTAGGAGGAATAGGTGGGTGGGAGAAGGATTTGTTTTTTATATAGTTTTAGTTTTAAAATAGCACTTAACACTAGCCATCCCTCTAGGTCCTCTCTCCTTGTACACTGTTAGTCCAGGCCAGCATGGAAATACATTATTTGTCCAGATCAGCATAAAAATGCATTGTTATTTGTCCAGGCCAGCGTGAAAATTGCATATTTATCCAGGCCAACTTGTAAATTAATGATTTAGGTTCTTTATTGAGTTTATAATTATTTATATAGCACTTGCTAATATGTAATTTTACTTTTTTACTTCAAGAAATCATCGATACTCTATCAACTGATTCAGGTAATACGGAGGACTGTCACCCGGAAGATATATGCAAAACACTGAACGGAGTCTGCACAACATCGCAGTGTTTAGCTGATGAAATAGGTATTCCACAGGGCTGTTCAGGAGGAGGATGTTTGTGTTGCGTCCAAGGTTAGTAGAAATCGTTATATTTGCCGTTTTATATTTTATATGAAAATCCATTGTTAAGTCTACTTTTAACTTGTATTGGCAATTCACATAAATCATGAGTGATCAAATCCCTGATGCTCAAGCTATAAGAACTTCTTTAAGTGTGCATAGTAGACTTCACAATGAGGTTGTCGAAGTTGTTAATAGCAATGGATATGATTCCTCTAATGAAATGTTCTAAAGACATCTAGGGACACCTCCCTCTCCCTAAAACAAAAACATAAAACAGCAAAAAGGTGTGATGATGACAGGATACTCCAGGTATCCTGGTTTACAAGTGTAATCCGGGTATCCAGGTGTACTCTGGGTATCCTGGTGTACAGGTGTACTCCAGCAGAGTACACGGTAGTGACTCCATAATGCTGACAGTAGGTCACGAGTTGTCATAACTTGTGGGAAATATATTAACGGTTTTGTTATGGTTGTTAATAGTATTACTTTGGTGGGTTTTGCATTGTGGTGCTTGTAATGTTCAGTTGTCTAGGAACACTTTTGTCAAGCGTCATAATACCTGCAGTATTTTTATTTTCTTGTTAATTTGTAATCATTTGTTTGGTTTTGGTGGTGTAAAATATGATGCCGTCTGTCTACCAACCCGGTCACAGAGCTATCTGCTCCAGGCATTGAGCACCACGCTCATATCTGGTGGTAATCCACTACGCCATCCTCGTCATATAAACTCTTATGTGCAGTATAGTGGGTAATAACATTTGATTCAGTCGATCGTCAGGGATAAAATTTGAACGCAGACCTGTAATAGGTAAGGCTCTCTCTCAACCAACGAGGACAGGATGCTCACAATAAGGAAGCATTTCTAAAAGTATCCTGGTGGTGCTATGGCCTCGTATTTTACAGGTCAAAGATCTTAATATTTGGTACTGTAATTAGTTTTTGCCAGTGCCCACTTATTAGTGTACTATCCACTTTAAATATTCTGCCATGTTAGATTCCATGAGAATTTTGTAGGCATGCAGATCGGCGTTCAATCTCCGACCTTCCAAGTGGTTAGACATCATTCCTTTCCCCCGTCCCATCCCAAATCCTTATCCTGACCCCTTCCAAGTGCTATATAGTCGTAATGGCTTGCGTTTTCCCCTGATAATTCCACTGAAAAGTTGTTTCTAATGTCCCTGTGGCTCATTTGGTTACTCAGTTTCCACCTGTCCCCCCTTGTTCGCGTACCACCCGTGTTAAACAATTTATATACCCTGTCAATTCGTCTGAGAATTTTGTAGGTAGTGATCATGTCTCCTCTAACTCTTCTGTCTTTCAGTGTCGTGAGGTTCAGTTCCAGCAATCTTTCCTCATAGCTCATTCATCTCGGCTCAGGGCATACCTCTGAACCATTCCTAGTTTTGTTTTGTGTTTGACTAGATGTGGACTCCACGCTGGAGCCGTGTGTGTGTGTGTAATTACCTAAGTGTAGTTACAGGATGAGAGCTACGCTCGTGGTGTCCCGTCTTCCCAGCACTCTTTGTCATATAACACTTTGAAACTACTGACGGTCTTGGCCTCCACCATCTTCTCACTTAACTTGTTCCAACCGTCTACCACTCTATTTGCGAAGGTGAATTTTCTTATATTTCTTTGGCATCTGTGTTTAGCTAGTTTAAATCTATGACCTCTTGTTCTTGAAGTGCCAGGTCTCAGGAAATCTTCCCTGTCGATTTTATCAATTCCTGTTATTATTTTGTATGTAGTGATCATATCACCTCTTTTTCTTCTGTCTTCTAGTTTTGGCATGTTTAATGCTTCTAACCTCTCCTCATAGCTCTTACCCTTCAATTCTGGGAGCCACTTAGTAGCATGTCTTTGCACCTTTTCCAGTTTGTTGATGTGCTTCTTAAGATATGGGCACCACACAACAGCTGCATATTCTAGCTTTGGCCTAACAAAAGTCATGAACAACTTCTTTAGTATATCGCCATCCATGTATTTAAATGCTATTCTGAAGTTAGAAAGCATAGCATAGGCTCCTTGCACAATATTCTTTATGTGGTCCTCAGGTGATAGTTTTCTATCTAGAACCACCCCTAGATCTCTTTCTTTATCAGAATTCTTTAAAGATTTCTCACATAATATATAGGTTGTGTGGGGTCTATGTTCTCCTATTCCACATTCCATAACATGACATTTATTAACATTAAATTCCATTTGCCAAGTGGTGCTCCATCTACTTATTTTGTCCAGGTCTTCTTGAAGGGCATGACAATCATCTAAATTTCTTATCCTTCCTATTATCTTAGCATCATCAGCAAACATGTTCATATAATTCTGTATACCAACTGGTAGATCATTTATGTAAACAATAAACATCACTGGTGCAAGAACTGAACCCTGTGGTACTCCACTTGTGACATCTCTCCATTCCGATACATTGCCTCTGATTACTGCCCTCATTTTTCTATCAGTCAGAAAACTTTTCATCCATGATAGAAGCTTACCTGTCACCCCTCCAATATTTTCCAGTTTCCAGAACAACCTCTTATGTGGAACTCTGTCGAAAGCCTTTTTTAGGTCCAGATAGATGCAGTCAACCCAACCATCTCTTTCCTGTAATATCTCTGTGGCTCGATCATAGAAACTGAGTAAATTCGATACACAGGATCTTCCAGATCGAAAACCATATTATCTGTCTGATATTATATCATTTCTCTCTAGGTGTTCTACCCATTTAGTTTTGATTAGCTTTTCCAATACTTTCACTATTACACTTGTCAATGATACAGGTCTATAATTGAGGGGGTCTTCCCTGCTGCCACTTTTGTAGATTGGAACTATGTTAGCCTGTTTCCACACGTCTGCTACGATTCCTGTACACAGGGATGCCTGAAAGATCAGGTGAAGTGGAATGCTGAGCTCAGATGCACATTCTCTCAGAACCCATGGTGAAACGCCATCTGGGCCAGCTGCTTAAGGAGTTAGTTACCAACTGGGCAGCAGCTTAACAGTCATGTGCAGGCTGCACCTACAGTAAGCAAACTTTGGATACTTGGCTAAGATTCCTGGCAGTACATCAATTTGGATTATACCTGACGACTATTTATATCCCTATGACTGATAGGTTATGACAATAGTTGATATGCGCCAATCTTAAGAGCATATTCGTGTAAGCTAAGTTATTGGAATCTGAAATATGTCAAAAGTGGAATGTTGACTCTTACGGTGAGGGCGAAGCCAGGCCCTGGCCCACGGGATCATCTCCCCCCACAACTGTGACGAGCCGTGTTTTTTTGTGTAGTGTGTGTCTGTGTGTGTGTGTGTGTGTGTGTGTTACCTAAGTAATTATCTAAGTGTAGTTACAGGATGAGAGCTACGCTCGTGGTGTCCCGTCTTCCCAGCACTGTCATATAACGCTTTGAAACTACTGACGGTCTTGGCCTCCACCACCTTCTCACTTAACTTGTTCCAACCATCTACCACTCTATTTGCGAAAGTGAATTTCCTTATATTTCTTTGGCATCTGTGTTTAGCTAGTTTAAATCTATGACCTCTTTTTCTTGAAGTTCCAGGTCTCAGGAAGTGTTCCCTGTCGATTTTATCAATTCCTGTTACTATTTTGTACGTAGTGATCATATCACCTCTTTTTCTTCTGTCTTCTAGTTTTGGCATATTTAATGCTTCTAACCTCTCCTCGTAGCTCTTGCCCTTCAGTTCTGGGAGCCACTTAGTAGCATGTCTTTGCACCTTTTCCAGTTTGTTGATGTGCTTCTTAAGATATGGGCACCACACAACAGCTGCATATTCTAGCTTTGGCCTAACAAAAGTCATGAACAATTTCTTTAGTATATCGCCATCCATGTATTTAAATGTAATTCTGAAGTGTGTGTGTGTGTGTGTGTGTGTGTGTGTGTGTGTGTGTGTATATATATATATATATATATATATATATATATATATATATATATATATATATATATATATATATATATATATATATATATATATATATATATATATATATATATATATATATACACATATATATATATATATATATATATATATACATATATATATATATACATACACATATATATATATACATACACATATATATATATATATATACATACACATATATATATATACATACACATATATATATATATATATGTCGTACCTAGTAGCCAGAACTCACTTCTCAGCCTAATATGCAAGGCCCGATTTGCCTAATAAGCCAAGTTTTCATGAATTAATGTTTTTTCGTCTACCTAACCTACCTAACCTAACCTAACCTAGCTTTTTTTGGCTACCTAACCTAACCTTACCTATATATATAGGTTAGGTTAGGTTAGGTAGGGTTGGTTAGGTTCGGTCATATATCTACGTTAATTTTAACTCCAATAAAAAAAAATTGACCTCATACATAATGAAATGGGTAGCTTTATCATTTCATAAGAAAAAAATTAGAAAAAATATATTAATTCAGGAAAACTTGGCTTATTAGGCAAATCGGGCCTTGAATAGTAGGCCAAAAAGTGAGTTCTGGCTACTAGGTACGACATATATACATATATATATATATACATACACATATATATATACATACACATATATATATATATACGTACACATATATATATATACATACACATATATATATACGTACACATATATATATATACATACACATATATATATATACATACACATATACAGTGGTACCTCGGAATGCGAGTGTCCCTGTATGCGAGTTTTTCGGAATACGAGCAGGATTTCCTCGAAAAATATGTCTCGGAATGCGAGGGTTACCTCGGGACACGAGTTTGTTGATACGCGTACAGGCCGACCCAGCGCGTGGTGGTTCGGCGATCGTCGCCCCTCCGCCCCTCAGTTTACCATTGTCTCGCGCCCAGTGACTACCCCACATCAATTCTTCTCGTGGATTTTCAGTGTTTTGTTGGATTTTTGGTGATTTGACTATACAATTTGTTATTATATATCTCACCATGGATCCCAAGAAAGCCAGTGGTAAGGATAAAGGCCAAAAAGCCCATGTGAGAATGACAACAGAGGAGAAACAAGAGATCATTCGGAAGCATGAGAACGGTACATGTGTTGTTGAACTTTGTAGGCAATACAACAAAGCCACATCAACAATATGCACTATACTTAAGAAGAAAAATGAGATTATGAGTGCTAAAGTGGCAAAAGGAGTAAGAACAATAACGAAACAAA